TAGTCTTTATTCTGGGTCTGATTACCCTAAAAGGGTGAGAGGATGGGGAAGGCAGGGAGGTGAATAGCCTCTGCCGACGAAGACCCATGACCATGAGGGGTCTGCGGGGCAAAGACAGGTGGTCAGACCCCTTTGAGGCATGTCTTGGTGACGGATGAACAATCTTGATTCATGGGGAAAAGAATGCTGAGCTTTCTCAGACTCTCCACAGTCCAAGCCTGCTTGGAATCTGAAAAGCACCCTGAATAATCCTCCATTCACTCACATAAGCGAGCTACACCTGTGTCTCGTAAGGGGGTCAAACCACGCACACTTGGAAGAGAACGGAGGTTTTTACTGCCCCGGTGACTTTTTGGTCTGACATACTTTGTTTCTTAGGAGAAGAAATCTCTTCTGAGCCCCCCTCTAAACCCTAACCCACATGCTGCATGCGTGCATCTGTTTCCCTTCCTGGTTAGTGAGCTTGGCAGGCTCAGCAGAAAAGGGACAAATCGTATTCCCAGGGTCGAGACAGGCAGCCTGGCCAGGTGAGAGCCGCTTGTTTGTGGGTCCTGCACTCGGCTCCGTCAGCTCCTGGGGGAAGCTGTTGTCAGCATTTGGGAAAGGTCACAGCTTTGTGTCACACTCCCAAGTAGGAATGTCCCGGACACCACTGAGACATCATGTCACAGAAATATTGAAACCAGAGCAATGGGAAAAGGTGCACCAGGCAGGTGTCAGAGAAGGCAGAGAGACCATTGTTGGTATCAGACATAAAGCACTTTGGGGCAGAAAGCATTCTTATGTGTAAAAACTGTGGTACGTCGGAACCGGCTTGTGCCGGTTCCCAAGAGCGGGGCCTGTGTGCTTCTTTCCAACTCCAGATTCAGTGACTCCTCACTGGCAGCTTGACATTGGCCCTGGTGAGAGTGTTTACACCAAAGACATCAGCCAACGCTCCCCACCTCAAGAGCCAAATGTTAAACATTGAGCAGCACCCTACTGGATAAAGAGGTTCGTTATTTTATGATAAAAACGGACAATTAAATGCGAAGCTAGAACAATCCTGGAGCTTAATAGACTTCACAACATAGCCTTAAAATATAAAAGAAAAACTGGCAGAATTATAGGGAGAAATGGACACATCCTACTAGGAAAGGGGGTGTCTTACACTGCTCCCGGAAACCGAGACAAAGCCAACAGCCATCAGGAAGGAAGCTCCCTTCCAGGGGCGTGTTCCTTGAGAAAAGTGTAAGCCCAGACTCTGAGCCCAGGCTGTCGGTCCCGGTGGGGATCCACCTTCCAGCCTGCCTGTAGGTTCGCTTTCTGGGCAGGTCCCTGTCCTGGGGCTGCACCCCGAACTCTGGGTCCAGCTCTCCCAGGGTGTCGTACTCACATGTGGCCACCAGGGGCGATGTTTCCTGAGAAGGCTCAGCGTCCTGGAGGGCTGACTGCCTGGGGGTGACCAAGCCCCCCACCGACCACCGTGAGCTGTTCCCCTCACCTAAGCACCTAGAGGGCTTTCAGACCCCAGGGCCAAGGACAGCTCTGCACAGGTCTCTTGCCCTCTATTCACAGCAAGACTCACATCCCCCTGATTGGATTGTTTTGGGGTGCTCTGGTCCCCCGCCCCGGAGCGGGAGAGAGGACGCTGTCTTTACCTTGGACAATGCCTCGGGGTTCGGGTCAGGGGTTGAAAAAGCAAAACTCCCGGAGGCCAGCAGGGAGTGTGAAAGGGCAAAGTGGCAGGGTAGGGACAGTGACCAACTGGACAAAACAGGCCCATCTAAGTGCCTCTGGCTAGGGTGTGGGCCCAGACCGGCCTGTGTGTCCCAGCTTTCCAAGAAGAGCTTGCACATCTGGATTTTTAGAGAAAACCTCCAGGGTAACAATAGGAAGATGTAAGCACAGCCTGAATCAAGAGGGGTTCGGGGAGGCCTCCTGCCCCTGGGCGGCCAGGGTGAGAGCCTGGAGGGTGTGGCTGACTGGGCTGGGGGCCGGGGGTGGTGGTGGTGGGGTCTCACGCCCGTGGTCACTATTTCCCACCCTCGCCTCCCAACACCCTCGGCAGGAAGATCCTCCCAAGATGCGTCCTGTCTCCCCACTGGACAGTTGTGGTGCCTGACGCCGCGGGCGCTGATCCCCGGCCGGGCCCTGCTCGCACTCAGCAGCGGGAGCGAACAGCGCCACCTGACCCGTCGTTGCACCCGCAGATAATCTGTGGGACCAGTCGCAGGGTGAAGTGGGGGCCCCGGGCCCTGCACGAGGCTGCCTACCCCCGCTGTATGTGTCCCAGGGGTCGAGGGACACTTGAGCTTCCCATTCCTGGGGACACCTGCGTACAGGTGGCCGCAAGCCCTGAGTGTGTGGGGAGGGGGCAGGGGGCCCCCTGCCTCGGGAGAGGGACCACCACTGAGCCCCAGATGCTGAAACATCCTGTCCTCACGAAAGCATGGGGGCAGTCGATATAGTGTTTTTACGGTCTCTATTGGAAAAATAAAATCTCAGAAGTGTAATTCCAGCCCTCAAAGTTGTTCTGGAAACTTCCCTGCTCACAGAACTGTCCGGGTCTGGCCCCCCCTTGGCTATGTTCTGCCGCGGTCATTTCTCTCCTCTGAGAGGACACGTGAAAATGCTCAGCGTGCTGCTTGCCTCCCGGTAGGGCCCTCAGGGCACCTCGCAGAGGCCCCGGGGGCCAGGCCGGGCACCACCTCCCCCTGGGTCAGATGTCAGCAAGTGCTGTCCTGTTGGTATTTACTGTTCCTTTTTGCAGGGTCACACACAGAGCTCCGTGGAGGAGCCTCCTCCCCCGACCCATCCCACTGGATGTCTGCCCAGAGGGCAGCCTGCAACCACCTCGCTCTGTCCTGAAAGCCAGGCCAGCGGCGGGGGGCGGGGGGCTGGCCGGGACCTGTGGAGAGGGCCACCCTGGCGAAGGAGGAGGCTGGGCCAGGTGCCCGAAGGCCAGGGGGCAGGTCGCAGGGGAGGTCCAGGGCCAGGGGTCAGGCCACAGGGGAGGTCCAAGGGCAGGGGGCAGGCTGCTGGACCGCAGGTAACCCCTCACCCTCAAGGGTCAACTGGAACTTCCCTTTGTGCCACGGTTTCCTTTAAAGTGCACCAAAAGTAGATAATATACAATAAATAAATTCAAAACTTCCCAAAAACTGACACTACAGGGGTTATAGTCTCTACCTCCCAGATGGGGAAACTGAGGCTGGGCCCAAGCTGGTTGGCAGCAGGAGCCTGCCTCAGTGTCCCTGGCTGGGGCCTGCACACCTCTGGACCCGGGCCCTCCAACACCCAGGGGAGACGAGGTGGCCCATTTCCCCCATCCCCCCACCCAGGCCCTAGCAGGGCTGATCGATCACATCTCCTACAGCGCTGACCCACAGCCGGGCCCAGCCTTCCAGCCACCACCCCTGTCCAAAGTCCAGGGCGACTGTGACGCTTGCTTGGCTTGGGACAATTTTGCACCAGCTGCTCAGTCCTTGAGTGTGGGGCCGGGAGAGGTCTGGGCTGCCTTGGCCACTGCCCTGGAGCTGCCGGGACCCTTGTGTCCTTCGCCCGTGCCCCTCCTGTCTAGGGCTCTGGCGGGGATGCAGCCACGCTCCTTCTTCACCCTCCCTGACCCGTCCCTCACTGCACTGAGTGAGTGCAGCCTGGCCCCAGGCTGCTGGCCAGGCCCCCTATCTGCAGAGTGACCAGGCTATGCACCATCCCAGGAAAGACTCACGCTGGTGGGGTGGCCTTCCTTGGGGAGTAAGTGACAGTCTCTGCCCACATGACGGGGACTGAGAAAGGCCGCAGCACCTGGCCAGGCCAGAGCCCAGGCCACCTCCTCAAAATGCTGGAAGGAAGGGCAGCTTGCCTGGGAGCGCCCCATCACAGCCAGCCTTATGGCCACCTCGCCCTCCATCCCGCCCCAAATCTGATTTCTTCCTGAACCCAGAGCCCCTCAAGGGTTCTTAGTTGTCTCTGGGTGTTCTAGCCATGCTTTGCATACAGTAGGCGCTCATTAAGTGTAGAGGACAAACTGGCAGCAAGACAGTCGGACAATTAAGGAATTGAAATAACGCAAATAAGAGCATAACTATTTATGTCATCTGTATTAATTACAGTGTGTCACTCCTGCTTCCGCCCCCACCCCCGCTCTTAGTAGCCAACATTACTCTATTGCTAACTTTTAAATTCTTTCTTTGATCCGTGGGAGGAGGAGGTCCATTTTATATCAACACCTGTTCTGATGCTTCACACACCCAGAGGTATAGGTACGCACTGTTCCTGCATTTCCTCTGGGTGTCTCCTCTGGGCATAGACAGAATGTCCTCGGGCCCCATAGCTTGCTGTGTGGCCCAAGGCAAGCTGGCTCCCCTCTCTGGTCCCAGTGCCCCCAGGAGACAAATGGAGGCAGGCATTCCTGGCCTGGGAAGCAGGAAGCACCCTGCTGTGGGCAAACCAGAGGCTCGGGGACCTCTCACACAGCGACAGAGGGAGCCAGGAGCTCTGCAGGGTGGGATGCAGAAGGCTGGACTTTCTGGCTTGCTTCTGAAGGCAGTGAGCCCCCCTGCCCTGGGAGTGAACAAGCTGCCGCTGGACGGGCAGGTGCTAGCTGGGGGCCATGCCTCACCTCGCCAAGGAGCCCGTAGGATACCACGGGGCCTGGCACAACCCTGTTGCTTACTCAGCACTTATGCCCACTGCACATCTGTGCCAAGGGCAGCTCCGGGCACGCGGAGCACAGACGGGCAGAGGCAAGCAGGGGTGCTCGGGGCCACCGGCGGCATACCTGTAACCCCTGTTTTAGAGATAAGGGAGTGAGGTCACCCGCCCCATCACCCCCGTACACAGGCCCGTTCTGCTGCCCGCCGCGTTACTGCCCGGGCCTGGGAGAAGCCACAGGCGGTGGGCGGTGCATCCCGCGCGGGCGGTGGGCGGTGACAGGGGCTGGCAGGGCGGCCAGGGAGGGGCCGGGGGCGGGGGCGGGGGCGGGGCCGGGGGCCGGGGTTCCGGCCGGGCTGCCGCCGGGAAGGAAGGCGGGGACAGCACCGTGCAGCCCCCGGGGCCGGGCACAGGCAGGCCTCTGCGGGCCCAGGTACGCCCGGGGGAGGAGCAGGGCCCGGGCCCTCCCCGCTGGGGGCGGGCAGGGTTGGGACAGGCCCCGAGCGGGCCAGGACTTCTCTCGGCCTCTGGCTGCAGCAACCATCTGGCTGGGTGGGCACGACCTCGGGTCCCCGGGTGCGTGGCAGGGGCCTGGGCACCCACCCTGGTTTCCTTCACCCGGCGGAGGCTGGGCCAGCTTTTTTCTCCATCAGTCTCCCTCGCCCCACAGCCTTTGAGGGGGGCTCCTCTGGCTCCTGCTTCACGGCTCAGGTGAAGTTGTCGCTCAAGCCCCAACCCCGCCCCCACCCCCTCCACCCCCAGCCCAGGCTGTCCTGCACCCTCACCCCTGGTAACGCAGGGGCCACACTGCTGACCGGGTGGGTGAGAGTTGGGGGGGGGGGGCAGGAGAGCAAGTTAATGTTGAAGCAGCTGCTTCTGGCAGGAGGGGCGCCCCCAGCCAGCCCCCAGCGCGCCCAGCTGGGACAGCTGGCCGGGCTGGAGCGCAGGGAGGGGGCAGACGGCCGCTTCTGGGGCCAGCGGCTCCAGTGAGATTGGAGGGAGGGAGGCCAGGCCAGAGGCCAAGCAGGAGCGCCGGGCAGTGCGGGTGGGGGCAGGGGGGCAGGTGCCCGGCCTTGACCTTGCCCGCAACCACGTGACGCTGACTTTCCACGGGTAGGGCACCACTCTTGGGGGCTCCTGGACAATTAGAGAACTTCGAGGACGAAAGGTAAGGACAGAGACAGGCCCAGGGGTGTACCAACCTGTGCCCAGGGCACCTCTGCAAGCCGAAGGGCAGGTGGGCTGTCAGACCGTGGGGGCAAGGGGTGGTAGAGGGACTGAGATGCCCCATCGCCCCCACCCCCTGCTCTGTGAAGCCTTACACATCACAGCTCTCTGCCCCTCCTCTGCCCCCACTCCCCTGGGAGGGTTCCCTGTGTGTGTGGGGGGGGGGGTGGGCAGCCCTGACCAGCCTGAGCACTGGGCCCCTCACCCCCATCCCCACCAATGAGTTGGTGGCTACCCCCAGCCTCCCCTGCCCCAAACCAGGCCCTGGGAGAGCCTGCAGGCTTGGGCTGTGCATGGGCCACAGAGCAGCCCTGTAACCTTGGCCACCTTGGAGGGCCTTCCTGTACCTTGGTCTCCTGCCCTGTAGGATGGGGACAGCAGTCATAGGGGTGCTTACTGAGAGCATCTTTTATTTGGCATGTGGGACACTCTTGCAAAGAGAGGTCGACTCTTCAGGTTAATTAGTTCATTAATATCAGTCATGGCTATTAATGCAGGTGGATTCACGACTAAATCCCTCTTCCTTGTTCTGCTGACCCCGGAAGTGGGCCCCGGAGGCCCCTCTGGTTTCCTTGCCTCCCCAGGTTGGGCAGGACACACCCCCAGGGAGACACCTCTCTGGCACCTTCGCTCCTTTAGGAGGTGGACTTCCTGTCACATTCTTGTAAATAAGAGACTTCTCTGGCTTGGGAGGGCTTCCTGAAAGAGGGGGGCATTCCAGGCGAGCCCCGAAGGCCACTGGGGGACACAGAGGAGGAGGCGGAGGTGGAGGGGCAGGGAGGGGGTTACCCATGCACACGGCTTCCCCTCCCACACTCCCGTCTGTGTCCAGGTGATGCCCCCTGGGGACTGCCCCCTTCCTCTGTCCCTCCCCCCAGCTGTCCCACCAGCACACAACTGTGCCCGGGACTCTTCCTCAAATGCAGACCCGTGGGGCCAGGCACTCGGGAAGACACTCCAGGGAATTGTCTGAGCCCCAGAGGCTCTCAAGACCCCCCTCCCCCTCGAGCCTACCCCTCCCCACCTCCCATTCTCACAGTCGTTCCTCTGGGTCCTGGGTCTCCCTGAGACCTGAGCTCCTTAACCTTGGCTCTCAGATCCCCTGCCCTCCTCCCTGGCCTCCCTCACGGGTGACCCTACTTCCCCAGACCGCATCTCGCCCCTTCCCTCTACCTCCCCTGTGCCCCCTGCTGCTGTCTAGTGCTTGCACTCTGTCACAGCCCCGTCCACTGTCCACATCAGCCCCCGGAGGGCAAGGAGAGAGGGGACAGAGGGCAGGCCACTCCAGAAAGGCAGGTGGCAGGTTCAGCCAGCAAGGGGTCTTGCTTACAAGGCTTGTCTTGGGGCCTGTAGACGAGCAGTTCTCTGCCCCCAACTGCCAGGTCGTAGTTTCTACAGAGGCCTTACGGGGCTCAGTCCCGCACACCATCCAGAGGGTTTCGAGGACACATCGCTCCCTCAAGCCTGCGTCCCTGGGAGTGGCTCCCATGGTGGGAACCGGGGGCTGGGTTGGGGGGAGACAAAATGTACATTCCCAGGACAGGGGAGGGGGTGAGGAGCCTCTGACTACCCGGGTCCAGCTTGTGGGCCCAGCTCCGGGGGCAGGCAGGGACCTTCTGCCTCCCACCGAGGTCGCCGTGCTTCCCGGCCAGAGCCGATGATGCCTCCAGGCCCTCAGTACACCCACGCTGGAGTGCAGGCGCGACTGGGGCCCCGGGGGAGGCGGCAGAGGAAGGAGGGTATGGGGGGTGGTCCCCGGGGCTCACCTGGTGCAGCCCCCACTGCGCCCCTCGGCACCCCGGCCAGCCCTGACTCTCTCCCCAGCTCCCTGCGGCGCTGAGCGCGGAGTCCCCATGGCCTCGCTGAGCAGAGCCCTGCGTGTGGCCGCCACCTGCCCTCGCCGGGACCTGGGGCTGCGTGAGCTGACCAGCCGAGCCGGGCCCACCACCGAGAAGAGCGTGCCGTACCAGCGGACCCTGAAAGAGGCCCAGGGCCCCTCGGCGGTGGCCCAGGGCCCAAGCCGGCCCCTGCCCAGCACAGCCAACGTGGTGGTCATCGGCGGGGGCAGCTTGGGCTGCCAGACCCTGTACCACCTGGCCAAGCTGGGCGTGAGCGGGGCGGTGCTGCTGGAGCGGGAGCGGCTGACCTCCGGGACCACCTGGCACACGGCGGGTAAGGGCCAGGGCGGGCGGGGGCTGGGAGGGACTGGACTCAGTGAGGGGACAGTTCCAGGGGGACGACTAGAGGCTTGTTAGAGGCAGCTGAGCAGGAGGAGGAGGGACGTGGAGAAAAGATGGGGATCATCTGAAGGTGGACAGATGGGGGTCCCCTTTGCCCCCCCCCCCCCCGTCTCTGAAGAGCCGTAGTGGGGAGGAGGGAGCAAAGCTGAGACCAGAGCTGGGAGCCCAGGCAACTATCTGTTCCAAGAACAGAAGCCCCTCCCCAGATGGAGCCACTGGGGATGAGGGGCATCCACAGGCGGGCATAGAGCGTGGACGGGGGACAGAGCCATCGGGTGATGCAGAGCCGTGTCCTCCATGGGCACCAGGTGCGTCCATGATCCTCATCCTCCTAACTAACCGGTGGGCATGTAGTAAGCCCCTACTGTGTGCATGTCGCCAGGGCAACCACCCTTCTGCCTTAACCCTGGGAGCTGGGTGAAGTTTGCAGTTTCGGTGGGGTAAACATTCCCACCTCCGCTAATGTCGCGCTACCGGCGTGAGGTCACGGAACGTGGAGCTGGGACGAGGTTCAGACATCACATGCCTTGTACACCACTGTTCTGCCCTCCCGCTGTCCCACCCCAGCCGGGCCAGCAGGCCTCTCCCCTCACGATTACACCGGCCTCGGCCCTGGCCGCCCACCCCCCAGACTCCTCTCTGAAGGGAGCAGCTTTGTTGGTGGTCGGTGCACACGTGGGCTTCAGCCGCTCCTGGCTTGGGGTCCCGGCCCCATCGTTACCTGCTCTGTCGTCTTGGGTGTGGGACTGTTTGGCGCCATCTAATTTCACTCTAAAATCATCATGCCTTCCTTTTGGGGTTGCTCGGTCGCCCTGTCACAGGCTCAGCCCTGGGCTTGGCACACAGTAAGTGCTCGATAAAGGGGACCCCCGACGTTACCACCGTGTGAGCTGCCCAGAAAGCCGGTCTTCAGATCAGCTCTGACCCTGTGATTTCTGGCTCATCAACCTCCTGGGGTTCCCCGTGGGCTGCAGAGAAAGACCCAGGCCCTCTGCCTGATCTCCAGGAGCCCCAGGCTGCCGTGGGGAAGGGGGAGCACAGCGGGGGGCTAACAGTGCCCCCTGCCTTCCTGGCCAGGCCTGCTGTGGCAGCTGCGGCCCAGCGATGTGGAGGTAGAGCTTCTGGCTCACACGAGGCGCGTGGTGAGCCGTGACCTGGAGGAGGAGACGGGGCTGCACACAGGCTGGATCCAGAATGGGGGCCTGTTCATAGCATCCAACCGGCAGCGTCTGGACGAATACAAGAGGCTCATGTCGGTGGGTGTGGCCCCCGCCAGAGGTGGGGAGCTCCCGGTGGCGTGGGTGCTCCCTGTCCTGGGGTGGGAGCTGGGGCTGCAGGGCTCGGGGAAGGAGCTCTGACCGATCTAGGTCACCATCAGACCCAGATGCCCTCGCTGCTGGGCCACCTGGGACAAGTGGCCATGCCTCCCTGAGCCTCGGCCTTCCCACCTTTCAATGGGACCATATTGTGGAGCGGACATGGGAGAGGCCCAGTACATGGGGCTATTACGGCCACTGTGCTCCGTGCTCACGGGAGACAGGATATATATGAAATCACACCCCCCAGGAGGCAGTGCCCACACTTCTCCCACACCCCTGCCCTCCCCCCGACTCCCAGGCCTGGGGAGGGCCGTTGTCCAGGAGACTGGGAGAGAGGCTCATGCTGCTGATGATCCTTGGATTGGGGTGGGGTGCTGTTTCCTAACCCCGAGTGGCCAGGCCTGGACCCCAAATCCCAGGACATGGGGGCAACAGGCTGCTCCAGCAAACTGTCCTTTATGGAGCACTGACTGAATCCGTGCTCAGCACCCAGCGAGCAGAACCAGCTGTGTGGCCAGCAAGGGCCCATTGTCGCAGGGATGCTGAGGCCCCTGGGTGCCTGGGCTGGAGGCAGGGGCCACTGGCTTCACCAGGACAGGTCTGGGTCTCTGGGCCTAGTCGCTGGCCCCCATTCTGCTTCCTCCTCCCTTAGCTGACTCACTGGCTGGGACAGAGGCCTCCAAGCGAAGCCTTCAGCCCCAGCCTTGGAGCCGAAGTCCCCAGCTGCTGAGAGGCCCCTGCCCCTTTTCAGGCGTCCTTCTCAGCCAGAGAATCTGACCAGCTCAGCTCCTTTCTAGTTGGGTGGAGCCTGTCGTGGTTGTGATGCCTGGGGACACTTGATTGGCTGCCCTTGGGCCAATCAGATGTGATGGTGTGGCCTGTCCTACTAAGTCAAGGGCCCGCCCCGATGAACGCGTTGGTCTCCTGGGAGCTGGTCGGATTGGAGAACCTGTTGATCCTCAAGCTCAAAACCCCTCCAAGCCCTGGGGGGTGATTTGCATTCGTTTATAGAAGCCCTTAGGTACCAGAGACTGGTCGAAGCTCTTGAGGGGTACCAACCACATAAACGGTTAGCACCCCCAGTCTGCCCCGGGGGACTTTAAGTCATTTATGTCAGAGCTGGGTGAAGGTGGGATAGCTCCAGAGCCTGCTCCTGCGCACGGCGTCGTGCTCCTTACCCTAGTGCGGAGATGGCCCATGGGACGGGGCGGCTGGGGCATGGTGACCAGCTAAGCCTTCCTGGAGGAGGCGGGGTTGGAGCTGACCCTTGGAGGTGCACACGGGGAGGACAGTGGCCAGAGGGGGTCTGCTCCCTGAGGGCTGAGTCCCTCTGCTCTCGGTCCCTCTAGCTGGGCAAGGCATATGGCGTGGAGTCGCACGTGCTGAGCCCGGCGGAGACCAAGGCGCTGTATCCGCTGATGAACGTGGACGACCTGTATGGGACCCTATATGTGCCGCAGGACGGTACCATGGACCCCGCCGGCACCTGCACCGCCCTCAGCAGGGCCGCTGCTGCGCGGGGAGCACAGGTACCAGCGGCCACGGGGCCCTGTGTCCCCTGCTCCCAGCCCGAAGGACCCGGGGCCCTGCTAAACGAGCGCGTTCTCTCAGAATCTCTTCTGTGCTTTTCATCATTTATCCCAGCTGTGCACCTAGTCATAGAAAACATTGGAAAGGACAAATAAGCAAAAAAGAAGAAATGGAAGTCACCCAGAGGGGACAAGTGTTGACGTTTTAGTTTTACCCCCCCAAATATTTTTTAGGAAGATATATTTTTGTAGGAAGAACCAAACCACACTGCTCCATGGCCTTTTGACCAAAGACTAGACTGTAAACACCTGTTGGCGAAGCCAGCCCTGCTTTCTAGAAGTCACTTTATGAGAAAGACCCCGCGTGTCTGGGGGCACGTCCTCCAAGTCAGGGAGTGCACAGGGTTAGCTTCTGGTGCTGGGGTTACCCCATTTCCCCAGCGGTGTCGCATGACACAGCCCCAGCAGGAGCAGGGGTCCCAGGTCCTGTCCGGGTGGTAGGGAGCCGGTGACGGCGGGGGTGGTGGGCGCCCTCACCAAGACCTCGTTGGCTCTGGAAGCAGCCGCTCTCGCTCTCAGGTCATCGAGAACTGCCCAGTGAGTGGCATCCGCGTGCGGACCGATGACTTTGGGGTGCGGCGGGTCGCCGCCGTGGAGACAGAGCATGGCTCCATCCAGACGCCCTGTGTGGTCAACTGTGCAGGTGGGCAGGGGTCTGTCCCGGCTCTTGGGCGGCCATGCTGGCTGCTCCCTAAGCCTGGCCCGTCTCTGGGTGGGGGGCCTGGGTGGGACAGACAGGCCCGCAGAGGCTCCCCCCGCCCACCGGGCTGGCGGCCCCGCCTGGAGCCGCAGAGCCGACCTGTCCCTGCTCTGCCCTCAGGCGTGTGGGCCGGCGCTGTGGGTCGGATGGCTGGAGTCAAGGTCCCGCTGGTGGCCATGCACCACGCCTACGTTGTCACTGAACGCATTGAGGGCATCCAGGTAGGGACATGGATGGCTCCAGACCTGGCGTCAGGCTATGGGGGGGGGCGGCGCAGGGACCTGGCTCGGAACCCCAGTGCTTGCAGGTGGTGTGACCCCTCTCCACCCTTAGCCTCGGTCACCTCATCTGTGAAATGGGCACCATCACACTGGGGGTTTGGGGTGGGGTCAGAGTTAAGTGAAGGAACCCCTGGTGCTGACCCCCTGGACCTTCGGGGCACAGCTCCTCAGTGGTGCCCAAGACCGTGTCCTGCGTGGTGCGGCCCGTCCGGGCTTTGTCACGTTCTGTGCTCCGGGTGCTTCTTCAGGGCACCTGTGTGTGTTTGCCCGCTCCCTAATGCGCCCTGGCTGCCAGTGTCGGAGACGCTGATTCCGGACCCTCAGATCCTCCCTGGGGTCTTGGAGGGGCCTCTGCCAAGGGAGACAGGGGCCTGTACACCCCTGCCCTCTCTTCTCTTCTCCCCTTCTCATCTCCGCCCCATCCCTGCCCCACTGTGGTGCGGCCGGTAGCTTCCTGTCACCTTGTCAATGACCACTCCTCCCTCCCCCCCCTCATTGTCCACCCACTTATCAAACATTAACCCACCATATTCCATGTAACCCTCCCTCCTTCCTCCCGCTCACCAGCAAACATTGACTGTGCGTCCCAGGCCTTATTCTAGAAACCAGGGCTGTAAGAGAACGGGACCCAGTTCTTGTCGGGGTGGAGCTGGGGGGCAGCTACAGACCGGTAAAGGAGCAATTCCCAAGCAGGCTGGTGGGGCCCTGAGGAGGCAGGCGGGGGGCTGCAGGGACTCCTAGCCCAGGGGGCGGAGTGCGGGGGGCCTGGCAGCCCAGGGCCTGCAGGCAGTTCAAGGGGGCCAAGGGGGTGGGGGTGGGACAGTGTGCGGTGGGACCCAGCGAAGAGGCTCCTGCCCCGGAGGAGCCTGGCTTCCGGCTCGTCACTGGGACCGCAGCGGTGGAGGGGCTGGGGCGGGTGCCGGGCCCCGCACGCACTCCTGCCCCTCTCCCTTGACACAGGGCTTCCCCTGTTCGTGGACGAGTGTAATGGGATCCAGCACAGGCCTCCTGATGGCTGCTGGATGCCCCGGGCTCTGTGGCTCTGTGAGGAGAGCTCCCGGGTGGCCGCCAGGGGTCGCCCTCAGGCCACAATGGGCTCTGGAGTGCTGGGGACAGGCTGTATCCTGGGGAGGGATCCTTCTTCTTGGGTGGCCACAGGGCTGTGCGCCCTAGGAACACCCAGGTCTGAGGGTCTGGCCCAGGGCTGGGTCCGAGCCGGGCACTGCACCCAGCTGCTCTGTGACCTGGTCCCCTCCCTCTCTGGGCCTGGGGTGTGTGTCCCACAAATGCAATGCGTTCCGTGCTCTCTGCCGGTCTGCATTCCACCGGCCCCTGCCTGCTTTTGCAGACACCGCTCTACTTGGGCACTGAGGGATAGGAAGGCTCAGGTTTGGTGGCGGCGGTCCAGCTCCTCCATTACCCAGCCAGGCAAGTCCTAGTGCTGCATGCGCCTCAGTTTCCTTTTCTGCAAGATGGACAGTAGGGTACTGATTGAATGGGGCTGGCTGAGGGCGGAGCCTGTGACGGAGGGGAAGGGCTGAGTGTGGTGCGTGGCCTGTAGCAGGTGCTCCTCAGGTGGTAGCTGTGGTGAGGATGACAATGGCCAGAACCAAGGGGCACAGGGTGGTCACAGCTGGCGGGTGCCTCAGAGGACGAGATTAGGGAAGGCTGGAGCTATCAGGCAGGCTTCCCAGAGGAAGCGGCCAACAGGATTTGGAAGGAGTGGGGCACAGGAGAAACAATGAAAGGGAGCAGGGTGAGGTTGGGAGGAAGGGACACCAGTGGGACCTGGGTCATAGCTGTAGGGTGGGCTTCTGCATGGAGATGGCAGGAAGAGTGCCTTGAGGACGCCCCGGTCACTCCAAGGCAGCTCAGTGTGCTGGGGCCTGGGAGCTAGAACGAGAGTCAGAGGCTTCCCCCGCCACCAGGTGTCCCCACTGTCCTGCTCTACAGAACTCCAGAGTCTTTTGTTTTGTCTTGTTTTTAGAGTAGTAGTGACAATAGGGGTAATGATATCACTGTTTTTTATTTCTGAAATGCTCGGTTACTGAGAACTTCCTCCGTGCTCCTTACAACAATCCCTCATCGCAGACATTCCTATTCCAGTTCTGCGGGGGAGCTGGACGACTAGGAGACTGGAGTGGGAGGGAGGGGCATCGGCCAGGTTATCCCTTTTGGCCTCTGTTTGTCCTCAGAGATGGGGCAGAGGAGTCACATCTAGTGTGCCCATCTCCAGGGTAAGTCGTCCAAGAGAGAAGGCAGTTCCTCCAGTGCCAAAGAGCAATAGGGGATGTGGTCTTTCCCCACTTCTGCTCAGTTTCTAAAATGATTTTGGTTTTGTTTATTGGTTAGATCAGTAGTCAGTGTTCGCAATATAATGTCAGTGTAAATATTGTTAACTCCTGAGCAAATAGCATCCAACTTTTGTGTTTCCTGGAGTTATTCATTGTTTTCCAGTTGCTCAGTTTTCTATGTAACTGTCACTAATTACCTCTGTCTGTCTATCTATCTGTCTATCTATCAACATTACCTTCATCCCCCAAATCCCATACTCATTATCAGTCACTCCCCATTTCCCATCCTACCCCCAACCTTAGATAACCACTAATCTGATTTCTGTCTCTATGGATTTTCCTATTCTGGACATTTAATAAAATGAAATTGCACCATATATGGCCTTTTGGGTCTGACTTCTTTCACTCAGTATGACATTTTCAAAGTTCATCCATGTGGTACATTATCAGAATTTCATTCCTTTTAATGACTAAATGGTATTCTTTTTTAATGGCTAAATATTCTACTGTAGATCACATTTTATTTATCCAGTCATCTGTTGATCGACATTTGAGTTGTTTCCACTTTTAATAATTCTGCTGTGAACATTCATGGACACATTTCTGTGTGGGCGTGTCTTAATTTTTCTTGGGTAGATATCTTGGAGTAGAATTGCTGAGTCATATAGTAACTATGTTTATCTGTTTGAGGAACTGTCAGACTGTTTTTAAAGCACAGGCGCTGTTTTGCATTCCCCCCCTCGGTGCGGAGGGGTCTGACTCCTCCATAGCCCCTCAGCACCGCTTCTGATTCTCTTGGATCCGAGCCATCCTAGTGGGTGTGAAGTGGGGAGTATCTCATTGGGGTTTGAGTTGCATTTCCCCACCGGCTGATGACGTGGAGCATCTTCTCATGTGCTCATTGGCCATTTGTACATCTTCTCTGGAGAAATGTCTATGCAGGTACCTTGCTCATTTTAAATTAGGTTGTTGGTCTTTTTATGGAGTTATAAGAGTTCTTGTTATATTTGGGTTATTTTGGGGTCTTACCAGATTTATGCCTGGCACATATTTTTTCCCGTTCTGTGGGTTGTCTTTTCCCTTTCTTGTTGATGTTATCGGCAGCACAAAAGGTCTTAATTCTGGTGAAGTCCAACTTATGGATTGTTTCTTTTTCTGCTTGCGCTTCTGGTATCATATTTCAGAAGGGTATTTCCTACAGTCCTTTTCCAAGGCCACAAAGATTGACTAGCATATTTTCTTCCAAGAATTTTATACTTTTAGCTCTTATTCTTAGATCTGTGACCCATTGTGACTAAGGTTTGTGCATGGTGTGAGGAAGGGCTCCAGCTTCCTTCCTTGTGTGTGGCCATCCAGCTGCGTGTTGAAGATCGTTGCTTCCCCCTCTCCATGGCCTTGGCTTCCTTGTGGGAAATCAGTGGACCATAAATATGAGGGCTTATTTCTGGACTGTCAGCTGGATTCCAGTGATCTATATGTATATCCTGTGTTAGTGCCCCCCCCCGTCTTGATTACAGTAGTTTTGTAGTGAGTCTTGAAATGGGGAGGCATGAGTCTCCCAGCTTTGTTCTTCTCTTTCAAGATTGTTTTAAATGTTCTGGGTCCTTTGCATTTCTGTATGAATTTTAGGATCACTTCGTCTATTTCTGCCAAGAAGCCAGCTGTGATTTTAATGGGGATTGTGTGGAATCTGGATCAATTTGGAGAGCATTGTCATCTTAGCACTAGTCAAGTCTTCATTTTATAAACATGGGATGTCTTTCCATTCATTTAGGTCTTCTGCAGTTTCTTTCAAAAATATTGCCAACTGTTTAGAGTACAAGTTTTGTACTTCTTTTGTTAAATTTGTTCGTGAGTATTTAAAAATACTGATGATTGATGGGGGTGCCTGAGTGGCTCAGTCCGTTAAGCGTCTGCCTTCAGCTCGGGTCATGATCTCAGGGTCCTGGGATCGGGCCCCACATCGGACTCTGTGCTCAGCAGGGAATTTGTTTCTCCCTCTTATCCCTGCTTGGGCTCGTGCATGCTCTCTCTCTCTCTCTTAAATAAATAAATAAATAAATAAATAAATAAATAAATAAATAAATAAAATATTTTTAAAAATTCCTTTTGATGGTGTAAGTGGAGTTATTAATTTCATTTTTGATTGTCCATCATTAGTGAAATGAAAAACAAAACAATAGTGTTTATTTGTCTGTTGTACATTGACCTTGTATCTTGCTGCCTTGTTGAACTATTTTGTTAGTTGTAATAGTTTTTTAGTGGGTTCCTAGAATTTTCTATATGCAGGGTCATGTCATCTGCAAATAGAGATCGTTTTACTCCTTCTTTTCCAAGGTTGATGCCTTTTATTACTTTTTCTTGCCTAATTCCCGTAATGGCCAGAAACTCCAGTACCATGCTGGGTAGAAGTGCTGAGAGTAGACATCCTTCTGTTGCCCTAATCTTAGAGGAAAAGCTGAAAATAAGTATGTTTCAGCTGTGGGTGTTTCTTAGATACCCTTTGTCAGGAAGTTTCCTTCTACTTCTAGATTGTTAAGTGTTTTTGTCATGAAAGGTGTTGGAAATACTTTCTCTGCGTCTATTGAAATGATGGATTTTCATCCTACTCTGTTGATATGGTATATTACATAGATTTGTTTACCAGATATCAAACCAACCTTGCATTCCTGGGATAAATCTCATCAAGTCATGGCATATAATCCTCTTATCTGTTGCTGGATTCAGTTTGCTAGTATTTTGTTGAGGATATGTGCATTTATATTCTGTCACATTTTCCTCCCGAACATTTCAACATGTCTGTCCTATCAACTACCTCTCAAGAATTTGTTCTGCACAACTCTGCACAACAGGGAAATCATATACGTCTGTAAGTCCCATTCCCCTCCCCTGGAGGAACCCTCCTGCTGTTCTGATCTCTGTTCTAGGTGGATTGCCTCATGGCCTCTGCTCGGCTGTGACCCTGGGGCCTTCTTCACTCCTCTTCTGTTTGGATCCATGGTGTGTGCTCTGGTTGCTTATTGAGAAGGGGCAGGTGGTGGGTAAATATTTTCATGTTCATCGATGTCTGAAATAATCTTTATTCTTTCCTTCCACTTGATTGATGGATTGACTGGGTCAGAATTCTCCATCTAAAACTGTCTGTCAGGATTTTGAAGACTTGGCTCCAGGTCCTCTGGCCTCCAGGAATGCTGTGCCATTCTTCAGGACCCACCTGTTCCTCTGGTGTTCTGATGTTTCACCCCAGTGTGGCCTCTGTGCCGGCCTGTCCATTCACAGGGCATGGTGGGCCCTTGTGGGCCCTCATGGGCCCTTTAATATGGAGATTTGTGATGTTTAATCTGAGAAATTGTCCTGGATTGCTGCTCTGATGTTCCTCTACTCCATTTCCTCTGTCTTTCTGGAACTCCTATAAGGTGGATGTTGGACCTTTAGGGCTGCCTTGTGATTCCCTTATTTTTTTCCTTTCCTGATTGCAATTTCTTCATCTTTTTTAGCCTCATATCTAGAAGATGGGCTTATCTGACCCTTCTGTTGCATTTTTCATTTTGATAATCATCTCTCATTTTGAGACCTCTTGATCTGGGATTGTTCCTTTTCCATGACCCCTTGTTTGATGGACCCAGTCTTGTCATATCTCTGAAGTTCCTGGTGTGGGTTTTAAGGGGAAGTTTCTGCAGGCCGGCTGGAAGCTTGGAGAGGGAGGACAGGAGGGCATCTTGCAGGGGATGAGGGTGAGCCATCCTCTTTGGTGAGGGCCCCGGTGTCCACATCTGGAGCCTTCCGCAGGCCACTTCATGTCTCCACAGTAGAGTCCCCGGGCTGCTGTAGAGGGGGGAATGGCAGTCCAACCCTCACCACCCCTGAGCCTGGAGCCTGTGAGAACCCACTTCTCCAGACCTCGGGGCTGTCCCCAGGCCAGGCTCTGGGCTGTGCTGGGTGCGGATGGAGAAGATCTGGGTTCCCTGCTGTGAAGAGACCCTGGCCTGTCTTTCTGTTCACACACATACTCTTTCTCACTCACACACGTGCACACTTACACACACATGCATGTACACACACACACTCACATTCACACATGTGCACACACACTCACACCCACCCACACCATGCACTCTGCCCACCAGGCCCCTGCAGAGGGAGCTGGGTTGCCATAAGCCAGGACTCTACAGTTTGGAGGGGACGGGGAGGGTGCAAACTGGTCTGACTTGTGCATTTTCCCCTCCCCAAGCCCGAGCTGGGGTGCTGGCCTTCACTCTGCATCCTGCAGTGTGGCTTGAGATCTCTGTGTGCTCTTGGCTCTCCATGGTTCTCTTAGATTTGTGGCTTATCCCTCGTCCCTCCCTTCTTCCTTCCTCTCCTTCTTACAGCTTTGCCGCTGTTTTATGGGGTTGAGGGAAGGAGAGACTTGAGTGGTGGGGGGGTTATCCACAGTGTAAACTGAGACCCCGGGTCCACTCTGTGCTCAAGGTTCTACAACAGGGAGGAGGTGCCATGGGCCACTGGGGGCCTGTGACCCCCAAGCCCTGGCTGACCCTGAGGCCTCTTTGCTCTGCCTTCCAGAACATGCCCAATGTCCGCGACCATGATGCCTCGGTCTACCTCCGCCTCCAAGGGGATGCCTTGTCTGTGGGCGGCTATGAGACCAACCCCATCTTCTGGGAGGAGGTGAGACACTGAGGGATCGAGGGGGTGGTTCGAGGCCACATCTCAGTGTGGTGAAGCCTTCTTCCAGAAAACCCACCCTCCCGAAGCTCCTCAGGTGTACCCCCGAAAGGGCAGGGCCCTTGGCCCCAGAAGGGTCTCACTCATTTTTCTCTGAACCGGGCACACAGGTAGATCCAGAGCTGGGGCAGGGAGAGGGCTGGCCTCACAACATTGATAGAGGCTGCAGAATGTAAAATAATGGCTTTGGAAGACCAAAACACAAAAGCCCTGTGTCCGCAGCAGACAACCCCGCGGCCCCGCCCCCGTGGCAGCGGCATCTCCCCCAGGCCTGGCTGCTTCCCCAGCAGCTTCGTGGGCTGCCTGAGGTCCGGCAGCCCCCTCGGCCCCCGCGAGCCTGCCCGGGCCACCCTCGCTCCTGGGTTCATGGAGAAGTGGAATGACTGAGTGACAACTTTGGGTCAGATACTGTTTTACTTCCTGGGGGCAGGGAGAGACCAACATAAAAGTCCCTGTCCCGGGGTGCCTTTATTTAGGTGGGGGAGACCCACAATAAACAAAGAAGTCATGGGGATCTGTGTGCTGAATGGAGCCGGCAGGTTAGGAAGAAGCCCGGTAAGAGTGGCGTGGAGGGATGTCCTTCACTCTGTGGTCAGGCAGGGCCCCCCCGGGGAGCTGACGGCAGAGCAGAGTCCTGCAGAGTGAACAGGTGGGCGAGGAACTGCCTCAGGTGGGGGTGAAGGCCCTGAGGTCAGGTCAAGCTTGTCCTTCTCAAAGAACTGAAGGAAGGTCGGCGCGGCCATGGGTCAGTGGTGGACGTGGACAGGGCCTGCTCTTGTAGGGCTTGGTGGGCCACAGAGAGTCACGGGGAGCCACGGGGGGCTTGGGAGCAAGAGAGGGCCTGGTCTGACTTAGGACAATGGGTGGAAGGAGGCGGGGAGACCGGGTGACCAGGGAGAGGCCACCACAACAATCCAGCGCAGAGTAGGTGGGCCTGGGCGAGCGCAGGGAAGGGGAGTGGAGGGGTTGGTGGAGGAGGCCTGACTCGGGGCGGGTTGGCCGGGCTCAGCTCCTGCGGGGCCGAGGTCACAGGGCCGCGCCCCCGCCTGCCTCCCCAGGTGTCAGACAAGTTTGCCTTTGGCCTCTTCGACCTGGACTGGGATGTGTTCAGCCCGCACATCGAAGGTGCCATCAACCGCGTTCCTGTGCTGGAGAAGACAGGGGTCAAGTCCACGGTCTGCGGCCCTGGTGAGTGGGGAGGCTGGGAGCTGGGGTGGGCGTCCCAGGGTCCTTCCGGCTGAGAAGTGCATCTGACCTGCCGCCCCTGCTGCGTACAGGCGGGAGACGCACCACCCCCATCGTGGCTCCAGCAGAACCACGCATGCGGTATCCGCCCCCCCTTCTTTCCCGGCGCGCACGGGGTCTTTTTCATCCTCAGTCAAGACAGAAAATGGGTAGGGCCAGCCTCGGCCCACATCAGGGCTGGGGAGAGAGGCCCGAAAGATACAGTGTTGTCCAAAGGGGAAAGTTTGTGTCTGAGACTCTGAGTTCCCTGTGCCTCAGTGTCCTCATCTGGGAAATGGGTGACAGAGCACCTACTCAGCAGGCGTGGAGCAAGGGGCGGGGGGAAGCCACACGTTAGGTGCAGGGCATGGCTGGGCCAGCAAACTGCCGTGAGTCTCCCGAGGAGAAGGGGTCACCACTCAGAGAGCGAGAGGCAGGCCGGGACAGGAGAGGGGCTGGTTCTGATGCCAGGGGCCCATGGCCTGCAGGGGTCCAGCCCTCTCTCCCCCGTGCACTTGGCATTGACACGGCCACCAGCCGGGGCTGCTTTAATCTGTTCGGCTCTCAGGAAGCCCAGCTGTGGTGAGCAGGATGGAAGCGCCCTTGATCACTGGACTCAGGGACCCGGGCGTGGGCCGTGGGCCGAAGACTCACTGCCCCCCCCCCCATGCTTCCCCAGGCTTGTGAGGGGCTGGCAGTGAGAAGCACAGGCCTGAGACAATCCCAGGGGTGCGAGTCACCCAGGAGCATCCTCTGTTTAATTAGACCGGGGAGTCACTGCTCCCACGAAGCCCTATCTGGGGGCGAGGTGCCTGTGAGGACATCTTGTGTCTGGTTTCCTGCCTGGGAGGGAGGGTTCGTGGGGAAATCAGCCTCTCTCCTTGCCAGGGAGGACAAGCACGGTCAACAGCCTTTGGCTTCCAGAACAGAACTCGGAAGTCCCAGGCCCCCTTGACTCCGGGGAATCTGGGGGCGGGCAGAGCTCCCATTCTGGGCCCTGGAGGTCACCGCCAAGGTGGGGGCCCCTGTCTGTGCAGCCCAAACGTCCCGTCATCCTGCATCCTTGTGTTGCTCAGGCTTGAGTCATTTGTTAAACATTCAAGAGACTCTCATCCCCCAGTACTCTCTCCTCACTTGCCCTGTGAGGCTGTTCTCAGCTTCCCATCCACCCGCCTGCAGCCCGAGCCGGAAACATCCCCAGCTCTGCCCAAGTGCTCACGGCATGAGCGCACGGGCCTGGGGAAGCTCCCGTCCTGATGCTCACTGTCCTCTCTGAACTGCCTCCTCCACCCTCCCTCAGCCACCCCGAGTCTTTCTGACCTCTGGGGTGTCCCCCTCTCCAGCTGTTTGGAAGTTTCCCCCAGGCCCCTCAGAGGCCGCCCGCCCCCCCCCCCCCCAGGTCAGGCCTGCTCCCCCTGCAGCAGGGAGCAAGTTGCACAGAGGTTAAGAACTCAAGCTCAGGGCCAGGCAGTCCTGAGCGGTGCTCCCGCTTCCATGGCTCACTAGCAGGGGGCCCGGGATAGAGGAGACCCCGTGTCACATGGTCTCATCTTTACCCCAGGGGACCACAGTGCCTGCCGGGAAGGGCTATTAGGAGTCCCTCACCACCCCCTCCTCCCACTCTGTTTTCTTACTTTGCTTATTTGTGTATTTACTGTATCTTTCGCTCCCCCGTCAGCTCCCTGAGGGGTGGGACTGGTCTCGTTCAGAGCCGAGCCTGGGGTGCATACACATGGGCTGCAAGTATTTGCAGATGGGCTAACTCACAGCCCTGGAAGTAAGTGCCATGATCCCAATGTTACAGATGAGGACACTAAGGCTCAGAGAGGTGAAGTGACTGGCCCAAGGTCACACAGCTAGGAAGGGGTAAAGCAGGGTTCAGACCCAGGATTGGGGCTGCAAAGCTCAGCTCTTTATAATGACATCCGAGGGTTCCCTGCCATCCCTGCCCTGGCCTCTGGGGGTGACCCGCCAGCAGCAGACAGAAGCAAAAGCCCCTGTCTCTCTCCCAAAGAACTTAGGATCATTCCTTCATTCAGTGAACATTTATCAAGCACCTATTGTGTGCTGGGCCCTGTGCTAGGCCTTGAGACACGGTGGTGAGCGAAGCCCAGTCCCTGCCCTCACGGTTCTCCTGGTCCAGTGGGCAAGGATGACCCGCAGGGACACAGCAGGAAGGTGGCGCAGTGAGGGAGAGCTTCTCGCTGTGATGGGGGCGTGGGGAAAGGCCCCTCACCAGCAGGAGAATGGCGATAGTCGTGAGGCAAACCTGGACCCTGCAAAGCAGAACCCGCTCCCAGCTGGGTGTTTCTGGCCGCAAATGCTCAGGAGCTGAGAAATGTGGTGGGGGCAGTTAGGGAGGCTCCCTGGGAGATGTGGCATTGAGCTGAGTCGTGAGGATGGGGAAGGTCTGGATGAAGGAGGCACCTGCAGACCCTGCTCCAATCACTGCACTCTCGGGAGACCCTGCCCTGGGTGCATGTGGCCTGGAGGGAGCTTGAGGCCCCCCTTCCTTCCAGAGTCCTTCACGCCTGACCACAAGCCCCTGATGGGGGAGGCGCCTGAACTCCGAGGATTCTACCTGGGCTGTGGTTTCAACAGTGCAGGTGAGTGCGAGGGGCCGCCACCTTGCACCTCCGCCCCCCCAGAGCTCCCCCAGGCAGAGTGGGGGTGGCTCCTGGTGGGGGGCGGAGCAGAGGAGGCCTGCAGGGAGGGGTGAGGTCCTGTTAGCAGGCACGCAGAACCCCAGGTGTGAGATCCAGGGCTTGGGGGGTGATGCCGGCTGTGGACACGGGGTGGGGGCTCTGGGGCAGACGGCAGACCTCTGCTCCACTCTTGCCAGGGATGATGCTGGGTGGCGGCTGTGGGCAGGAGCTGGCCCACTGGATTGTCCAAGGGCGCCCAGAGAAGGACATGTACAGCTATGACATCAGGTGAGTGTGCGCTGGGTCCTGTGCCCAGGGATCCGGTGGCATGGGGGACATGGCAAAGGGCTGTTTGGAAAGGAGGCCTTCCCTGGAATCCAGAGGGCTTCTTGGAAGAGGTGCCGGCAGGGGCGGTGCTGCAGGGGCCTGGGTTTGGCAGATCCACGGCCCTTGACAGCTTCCAGGCTTCCTTGTGCCACAGCGTCCTGCCCGACCCTCTGGATAGCTCCAGGATCAGCAGCGGGATCACATCATCCCAGTTTGCAGACGGGGAGCCTGCAGCCTGGGGAGCAGGAGGGACCGCACACGTTGCCCAGGGAGTGAGGCCGAGTTGGTTATTGTTAGTACGGGGGTGGAGGCTGGGCGTCAGGCAGCCCTGAGCGATGATGCCATCACTCACTTCCGGGGTGACCGGAATGAGTCGGACCCAATGCCGAGCCATTCCCTCACTGTGACCCCTGGGTCATGACGCTGTGTGCTGCCAATGTTGGGAGCAGCACATGTGTCTGGGTGGTAAAATGCTCTGGAGCCCGTCTGCAAGAAGCGCACACAGACCTGAGCCGAGGTGGAGGGGAGCTGACGTCAGAGCTGGGGTGGGGGGGGGTGTCCTGGTCTCCACCGCCCTCTGCCGGCGGGGCTGGGGTCTGCAGGCAACAGCTTGGAGGGGCGCCCCTGTGGGTGTCCGGCCCGCTCCCCTGTTACTGCTCCCGGCAGACAGCCTCCCTGGGGGGACCCCAGCGGCCCAGTAGGGACTGGTCCAGCTTGTGCCCCCCTCCTCTGCTAACCTTGCCCCTTCCTGGCCTGATGAGGACATTACACCCACTGAGGGGGGGATGTCTGGCCCCCACAGAGGCAGGCAGACAGACAGACAAGACACTGAGATTCCCCGACTGCCACCCCCTCCATGGCGCCTGGCACAACAGTCTCCTCTGTGGCTGCCTCAGAGCCCGTCTGGGGCTGCGCCCACGCGCTCCCGAGAGAGGAATGTTCCAGAAATGATAGCTGCAAGGGGCCTCGGGGATGGGCCAGTCCAAGCCCCTCCTGCTACAGATAGTGAGAGGAGGCGCCGGTGGGGGAAGCCGCCTGTCTGCAGTCGCTCAGGGCGTGAGCCGGAGCGAGCAGGGACAGACCTTCTGGCCTCCCTGGTGGGCGAGGGCTTCAGCCCTGGAACAGACCCACCCCCCCCAGGGCTCACCCTGGGCCTCAGGGGGCAGCTTCCCGGTGCCACAGTGTCCACGGCTGCAGGACGAGGCTGGCCTGCCTACACCCCTCCTGGGCTGAGGGAGACCCTGCAGGGAGGGCACGCACAGTCCTGGATTCAGCAGGCAGCTTAGGTCTGGGCTGGCGGAGGCCCCAACCCAGTTGGGAAGCGGTCTGGGCCTCCCTCTGTCGGCTGCCTTCCCTGGCAGGAGCATCTTGTGGGCTGGTTTATGGCTCTGTGGGCTGGGGGTCACAGGTCAGGAGGCAGAGGGTACGGGGAGGGAGCCCCTAAGAGCTGGGGCCTGGTGGGTAGAGGTGGGGGCAGTGAACTAGCCCACCCACCCTCGTGGCTCAGGCAGATGGTATTCCCATCTGTGAAATGGGAGCAGTGAGCCACCACCTCTCAGGGGCGTGCGTCTGAAGCTCGTACATGCTTCGCCCAGTGCCTAGCCTGGGCAGGGTCTGGAGTGCAGGCTGTGATTTTTAGTGCAAGTCCTCGGGGTCCGAGTAAGTGGGGAGGAGGAGTCATTCCTTCTTTGAGTGAGGAGGGTGGCTCAACCCTAGCCCTGGCTTTGGCCCTGGCCGCAGGCCCCCTGCCTGCCTGCTCATGGGTGGAGCGCTGCAGTTGGGTCTGCCTGGCCACAGGCAGGGGTCCGTCCCCCTGCTGATCCCCGGCCATGCTCTGGCTGAACCTGAGCCCACGGGCCCGCCATGTGCACACGGGCACAGATCTGAGCAGAGGGGGTGGCGGTGCTGGCCAGTGGGGCACCTGCTGGAGGGGCCGTGTCTGTCGGTGTCGGGATCACCCGGGCCTGCCCTGGGTCCAGCTTCCTCTTCTGTCCCAGGGGGCCTGAGGAAGGAAATACAGCTCTCTCCCACTCCCCAGCCGCCCGACCCTGGTCCCCACCAGGACTCACACTCTCAAAGCCGCTAGGAAGGTCCCATCTCCCATCCCAGGAGAATCATGTCAGCTCCTAGTGACGGGGTGGGGGGGGGAGTCTGACCGGAGGGGCCATCAGCCGAGGACAGACCTCCTAGCCTCCTTCCTCCCCACCTCAGCCCCCCCAAAGCTTGCCGCGCATTTCCGAACTCCACACCCCAGCCCACTGCTTCTCCAGGAACCCTCCCCAGACCCCTTGGCCCAGCTCCATGGCTCCTTCTCTTGCAGCATGTCCCAGAAGCTCCTGGCTCCGTGTGGCCCAGCAAAGGGCAGGCTGGGTTTCCTTTCGTGTGAAACAAGTCAAACCAGGGGTGGCAGGGGGTGAACAGCGAGGGGTGCTCAGACCCAGGCCTGCACTGGAAAGGAGCTCCGGAGAGCCTCGATATTACTAGTGATGATATCTGCAGTAATAAGCTCACTCCTATAGCTCCAACCCTGCCCCAGTCGGGCCGTCGTGCTTGCTAGAACTATGTGCAAAGTAAGAGTCAGTTAGCCCCGATGAGGCTCGGACAGGAATCACCGAGGATGAAACAGAGATGAAGACATAGCTGGTGAGGAGGTGGGCCTGGAGGAGGCGTGAGGCGCCAGCAGGTGCACAGTGAGGAAGGGGACAGCCGGGGCAGCTGGTCCAGGCTGGGGCTCTGAGAGTGGGTTTGTGTGTGGGAGGGGCTGGGGGCCCGGCACAGGTGGGCCGGCAGCCATGCAGTCGGCTCGGGTGGCCGTGACTGTCCGCGGAGACCAGATGGACAAGCTGCTGGGAGGCTGCGGCCGCTGTACGCACAGGAAGGCTGGCGGGGAGGGCCGCGTGTGGTGGGCGGGGGTCGCAGTGAGGAGGCTGAGCTGCCCAAGGCCCCCTGGTGCGAGAGTAGAACAGGACCCCCTCCTGAACCCACGCCTCAGGGAGGACTCTGGCGGAGGGATGAGGGTCCAGTTTTGCCCTGGGTCCTTGGCCAGCCCTCCCTTAACAGGCCCCCAAGGCAGTGACTGGCCCCTCCATCTGCAACAGGCGCTTCCATCCCTTGCTCACGGACCACCGCCACTGGATTCGTGAGCGCAGCCACGAGTCCTATGCCAAGAACTACTCGGTTGTCTTCCCCCACGACGAGCCCCTGGCAGGGCGCAACATGAGGACCGACCCCCTGCATGAGGTACCACACCCTGACAAGCGCGGTGACCCTCAGGACGCCCAGGGTACTGGGGTGACAGAAGGGCGTGCAGCACCGCACTCCTGGGCAGGCAAGGCGATGAGGGGGCTCAGTCATACCCAGGGTCTTCCTAATAGAACGTGCTCAGAATCCTCCCTGACTGCTGGTGGCAGGGCTCCTGAGTGGCAGGTGCGTCAGCAGGGGTGAACATCAGCGGGTGCGCAGCAGCAGGTCGCACATCATAGGAGGGCATAGCCACAGAGCAGCATGCCGAGGAGACGTGCTCCTGCTGGGGGAGCCTGCTTCGGCGGCCTTTCCTCCCTGGCCAGCTTCTACCTGTACGATGAAACCCACTGTCAGATGCCCTTCCCGGGGCCTGGCCCTGAGCACTCTCGCAGGGCCCCCACAACCCGGGCACCCGCCCTGTGCCCCCAGCCCGTGCTTGCTTTGCTTCTCTAGGGCCCTGGGCACAGATGCTGTGCCCTCGTGTCTCCGGTTCCTGAGCACTGAGCCCAGAGCCTGACTCTTAATACGTGTTCAGGGAACGTTTGTTGAATGGGTGGATGAAGGGAGAAGCAGGAGAGCAGGCTCATGGAGCAGGCCGCATGAAGCTGAATAAAGGAACCTCCTTCATCTGGGACTCCAGTGCCTGGACCCCAGAGGGACCCCGTGTCCCCTGCACCTCCTGGGGAGAGGCCCAAAGATGTCAGTGGGTCCCAGGCTGCCCTGCCTCTTAGCTCAGCTTAGGGGGCCAGCGAGGGTCTCGGGCCCCACAAGGCCTCCTGCTCTCCCCAGCCTGCCGGGGTCTTTATTCACCCTGCACGGACCCTGACGGCTCCGCGGCCTCCCCGGCAAACACGGGGCTTGCTTGGCTGGCCGTGGAAGGAGAGGGGCTCAGAAGGACCACTCAGAAGTGCACAGCTTTACCCAAAGGGCACGCGGCAGGTGCGGGAGCACCCCCTGCCCAGAGAGAAATCTGAATTCACCCACGCTTCCGCTTTCCCACATCATCAGCCCTGCTCATTGATGCCTCCCGACCATGGATTGTTTAGAGGAGCCTACGCCCCGCTATTTTCCCTCCTAAGGAAGGTGGCTTCTCCCCAGGTCCACTCGCCTCCATCACTCACTGCGGGGTGATCTTTTGTGTCCTCAGTTGCTGCCCCCTTGGATGTCCAAGGAGGACATTTCTGGGGCGTCACCATTTGGCAGTGTGACCTTGGCCCCTTCTCTGCCTGCTCAGGGTCTGGGTGGTCCACGGGAGGCAACAGGGGCAGCCTGTCCACAGCCTCGGGCTTGCCCACGGACACAGGGCCCTTCCAAACGTGAGAGTGGAGATTATCTTTTTTTCCCCAAACCAAATTTATTTTCAAAGAAATCTGCCACTCTGGGACTTCATTGCGTCCATGTGATATTGTGACTTAGAATAAGAAAGAGGTATAGTCTTTGTCCGGTTCCGAGTCCGGCATGAAGTTCTGAACCCTTGGAACTTCCTCAGTGATGAGAGCCATAAAGGTGCCTTTTGTTATGTTAATGGCATGACTTTGGGCCCAACCTAAGGATGGAGGTTGCATGCCAGCGATCCCAGCTGGATGCTGCATGATTAGGGGACAGGAACTTTCAGTCCCACCCCTGGCCTCTGGGGAGGGAGAGGGGCTGCAGGCTGATTCAGTCAGTCGTGCCTATGTACTGAAGCCTTCCTAAAAACCCCAAAGGAGAGGTGCAGAGAGCTTCCAGGCTGGGGAGTGCGTGGAGATTTGGGCAGAGTGGCACTCGGAGGGGCCCGGAAGCCCCCTGCCCTTCGCCACACCTGGCCCGACGCCCCTCTTGCATCTGGCTGTCCCTGAGCTCTAACCTGCTGCAAACCCCCGGCGATCCAGCGCGTAAAACCACTCTCGACGTCTTGTGAGCTGCTCTAGCAAATCAGGCCGCCCGAGGAGGGGTCCTGACCCACAGCTGTTCGGTCAGGAGTGCCAGTAACAGCCCGGAGTGGGGGGTGGGGGCGGCCCCGTGGGACCAGGCCCCCAACCCAGGGACTCTGATAACGTCCCGGGGTAGACAGTGTCAGAATGGAGCCGGATTCTTGGACACGGTCCTGGTGTCTGAGAATTGCTTGGTGTTGCGGGGGCGGTCCCCGCACACGGGCACGTGTGAATTGGGCCCAGGAAACCAATATAGTCTGTTACATTTTTGTCTTGTGGCAAAGTACACATAACATAAAATTTGCCATTTTAACCATGTTAAAGCACACAATTCAGGGAGATTTAAGGACATTCAGGATGCTGTGTGACCATCACCACCACCTAATGGAGACCCTGCACCCATGATGCAGGGCTTCCCCATTCTCCCCAATGCACGCCCTGCCTAGAAAAACCACCCATGGGTTTTTCTGTCTCTGTGGATTTGCCTGTTCTGGACATTTCATGTGAGTGGAGCCGTGCAACACGTGACCTTCCTCCCCGCAGCCTGTTGTGTTTGAGGCTGGCCCGTGGTGCATCCCGGGTCAGAACTCCATTGCTCTTGACAGCCGGACCCTGCTCCACCGTGCGGGTTCGCCACACTTGGTTACCTGACCCATCGTCAGCCGGTGGACACTTGGGTGGTTTCCACCTGCCAGCTGCTGTGAATATGGGTGTGCAGAGACCCACTGTGTCCCTATTGTCGCTTCTCTTGGGGCATGAGGGGGACCTCGGAAGGAGATTGCTGGTCTGTCCCAGCAGCGGACAACGCAGCACAGTGCGGGGGGCGGGGCAGGGAGGCTGAGACTCTAGAAACTCATTTCTCCCAGTTCTGGAGACTGGGAGGCCCAGAGCCAGGTGCCCGCTGCCCGGCTCCAGGTGAGGGCCCTCTGCCTGGCTGCTGGAGGGCTGCCGTCCTGTGTCTGTAAGCCCTCCTGGCATCAGGGCCCCACCCGTGACCTCACTCCACCCTAACCCCCTCTTCACGGGCCCCATCTCCAAATGCGGTCCCACTGGGGGTTAGGGCTTCAACATAGGAATTTGGGGTCCGCAATTCTGTCCCAGCAGAAGGTATCTCAGTAGGTTGGGGATTCTTGGAATGGGGCAGGGGGAGCTGGGGGCGGGGCTCTGGGGCAGGCAGGGGATCCTGGCTCTCAGCACGAGGACCTCTTTGCCCTCTGCTCCCTGGGGGGGGGGGTCACTCATTGCCCTGCATGGGGGTAGTCTGGCCCGGCCTGAAGGGTGCTTGTTCCCCACCCCTACCCAGGAGCTACTTGCACAAGGCTGTGTGTTCCAGGAGCGACAGGGCTGGGAGCGGCCCGGATGGTTTACTCCCCAAGGCACAGCTCCGGTGAGTAGGCACCCGGGCCTGGCCCCCCTCCGTGCCCGTCCCCCACCCCACCCGCCCCTGCTGCCCAAGGTGGGGCCTGTGGGACGGTGAATCATCTTGTGTGCAGGAAGGCTGAGCCCCCTGCAGATCTGCCCGTGAGCACGGAACCCCTCCCCTGCAGATGTCCCCGGGGCTGTCAATCACTGCCTCAGCAGCCAGGCCTTCCAGGGCTCGGAGAAGCCCCGGGGTCCCTGGGAAAGCTGGTGTTCCACAGTGCGGAGGCCGCGCACAAGACACCCCCCCCCCCACCCCGCCCGTGTGTAGGAGAAATTAGTGCATCTTCTCATAATTTTGTTCGTATATTTTTGGCAACTGCAACTGTTATTTTATGTTAGTAGGCGGATTTAGCACCAAATTAGGCATTCCATGTTAGTTTGTAAGTTGGGATTTCATAGCCTCCTGGCCCCTGGGTGCCCTCCTGGGGGCTCCCCAACCCCCCCTCCCCCGAGTGCCTCCCATGGGCCCGGGGTTGTCAGAAAAGAACCCAAACCATCCTGCTTGTGAAACTCGGGGGCTGGGGTCTGCTGGAGCAGGCACTGTGATGCTTTCAGCCCAGTCGGGGGGATAGTATTGGATCCAGATTTGTGCGAACTGAAATCCCTCTCCGCTGCTGTGTTTTACCAGTCCCCTTCCTGCGCATCCACCTCCCATCTCCATAGCAACCCTCGGCCCAAGGCCAGTCCTAGGGCATCCGGGGGCAAGCGAGGCAGAAGTCAGAGCTCACTAATGCCCAGAGGTCCGTGTCCTCAGGCTCCTTGGTCCTGGCCCCTTCCCCAATCGGCCTATGGAGACCCTTGCTCTCCACCCAGGAGCGCGGAGCTCCCCTGGAGGTCCTACTCAGTGGAAGTACAGACGAACTCATGAGGGTGGAGGAGGCAGGCTCTCGAAGACACTAGGGGCAGCAGCCTGTGCCTCGGAGGCTGAGAGGCTGGGGCCACCAGGGGATAGGATGGGCCTTGAGCAGAGCCCGCTGCATCACAGCTGGCTTGTCCCCGGAAGCCCCTGTCCCCTGGAACCCACGGGAGAGCGGAAGACACTGGAGCAGAGATCGGGAACGTTCCCTTGGGCTGGAAATGCGCAGGCTCTGCACCCTCTCCCCTGGGAGCCATCCTGGGTGTCTAGCGCACGGGGTGATAAGACGTCCCCCAAATCCCAGATGCCCGGCCAGGCTGCAGCGAGCTGGAATGTCCCTTCTGGGGTCTCAGGGGCCAGTGGGAGCCGCGCCTGCAGGGCAGGGGGAGGACTATCTGCAGAGGCCCCTCCCAGATGCCAGGGCTTGAGTGGGGCTCGGGGCAGCAGAGTGGCCCAGCGCAGTCAGAACCTCACCCTCGGCTCTTGCCTGGGAAGGAGGCTGGTCAGGGCTGGCCGGGCTGCAAGGTGACAGTTGACTGGCTCCCTCAGAAGCAGCAGAGGTGGGGAAGGGCCTCTTGGCTTGTGGGCCTCTCCGCGCCGCTGACAGGTGCAGGACGGGCCAAGGCAAATGGCAGTGGAGGAACCGGCCTCTGGGGCCCACCCGCCACCAGGTCCATGCCAGGCCTGTCAGGTCCTTGCCTGTGACCTAGGGCAAGCTTTAACCTCTCTACCTCAGTTTCCCATCTGTAGAAAGGATCTCCCTCCCTAGAAGCTTGAGGCCCTCGAGCAGGGCGTGGTCCTGATTGCCATGGCAATGGCATTGGGCCCCCAGCCCCGTCACCCTGGTCCTCAGTGGGCTGGTGCCGGGGTCTTATCCTGCTGCCTTAGCCTTGCCTCAAAAGCCCTGATGGTGACCCTGATGTCCCTGGTGACGCCCCCCCCCCCCGGCTTGCCTCCCCATCGGCCCCGTCTCTCCCTTCCCTGAGTCCACCCAACTTCTCCATCCTCCTGGGCCCCAACCAGCACAGGCCAGACTCTCTCCTGGCACCGGCTCTCAGACGCACCGCCACCACGGCCATTACGGTGTCATCTGTGCAAGGGGTTATGGACGGCCTGAGCCCCGTCCCTCCGCTGCCCCTGCAGGCACAACACACCCCTCCAGAGGGCAGCTCGGTGAGGCTGGACCAGATCGTCTGCTCCATCTCTGCCTCTGCGGGCCCAGCTCCGTGCCCGCCAAGCCGCACGTGTGTGTGTGCGCGCGTGCATGTGTGCATGTGGGGAGGGACAGAGGGACCGAGGGAAGGGAGGAGCAGGAGGACCGTGACAAGCGTGTCTTCTCCCAGGTTCTGCAGTACGACTACTACGGGGCCTATGGAAACCAGGCACACGGAGACCATGCCTACGGCCGCCTGCTTGGGGACGAGTACACGTTCGACTTCCCACCGCACCATGACGTGGTCAGTGCCGAGTCCCCTTCCCCCATCCCTGGTGGAGCCAGAGGCTCTTCGGGCTCCATCCTGTCCACCCCCGTGCTGGACTGACTCCGTTTTGAGGAGGAATCTGTGATGTGTTCCCGCCCTCCTCTGTACCAGGGCTTGGCCAGCGGTTAGGCCTGAGGGCAGTATTACTGCTCCCTGTGGCCGGGTGGGCTGGGGCTGGCTCTGTGGCTCCAGGCCAGGCGCTGCCCCTCTCTGAGCCTCCATCCCTCCTGCCCTGGAGCTGTTCTGAGGCGAGCTTGTGTGAGACCCTGTGAGTGACTAGCTCCTTCCTCCAGGCCCAGTGTGGTGGGCTTTTTACCTGTGGCTCTCGCAGAGCAGATCCGGGACACAGAGATCCCAGACCGGCCCCTCCAGGGCATAAGCAGCGGAGGGTCTGTGGTCTGGGGTTTGCTTGTGGCCGCTCTGGCTCCGGAAGTGGGCAGGTGAGGCTGGTCAGACAGCAACCCCAGCCACTCATTGCCCCGGCCCGAGTGCCTGGCTCCCAACTCCTGCCAGGGTGGGGGTGACAGTGGGGCCTGGCCACCCACTGCAGTCTGCACCACGCAGAGATGTTCTCATGGGCAGTATCTACAGGAAACAACACCAGCTTCCACGCGGGGTGGCCCAGCCATTTGGTAAAGGGATTACCCAGGAGAACATGGCCCAGCCTGTGTCCTTGTGGCTGCCCCAGGAGAGGGAATGCGGCCTTGGCCGCCCCCTGATGTGGGCGTGAAGTTAAGGCCTCCACCTGTGGGTGCCCGGCCCAGGGCGGCCTGGGAAGCAGTCACGAGGAGGAAGGCAGCCAGCCAGCTTCCTGGGTGTGTGGCCTCTGAAGTCGCCTGCGCTGGGATTAACACTGCTGTCGCCACCTTGAAACTCTTCATACTTTTGGAACCAGGGTCCGCGGTTCCATTTTGCACTGGGCCTCACAAATGCTGCAGGTGGTCCCGTGATCTCCCCCAAGCTTGCTCTCCTGGTGAAGGCACCGGAGAAGGGGCTTGGGAAATGGAAGCAGAAGGCGCATGCGTCCGGAAGCTCCCGGAGTCCCTGGCGCTGCCTCTTGGGGCGTGAAGGGGGCTCCGTCTGGCACTTCAGCACCCGCACCGCCGAGGGCCGGCAGGACGTCTGGCCCTCGGGGACGTGGGAGCTCAGAGGGGATGCCAACTTGGCTTGGTGGCTTCATCCAGCCTCCACAAACACGTCTGAACAGTCCCGAAGCATGAAACACGCACTTGTTCTCGGCGTTGGCAACCTCCCCAGCCCGGGGAGACGAGAGTCAGCCTGGAGACTGTTTTGGGTTTTGCTCTGCAGCCCCAGCAGCGTTAGCGAGGGTCCCGCAGCGCCTGACGGGTCGCAGGAGCTCCACAGAGGGGAGTGGTGTCTGCAGAGGGGTGGAGGCGCGGCATCGGGGGCTCGGGAGTGGTGCAGCCCGGGTAGGGTGCCAGCCCTCCCGGGGAAGCCCGATCGGGGCCTTGGCCGGTTTCCCTGGTGTAAATACACTCTCCACTCACTCCGATACACCCACGCGGCGCCGCTGGATGTGGAGCTGGGCGAGACGCACAACGCTAGACAGACCTGGCCCCGGGCACGTCTGTGGTCTTCCCACTGGGGAGCCCCCGTCCCCCTGCCGCCAACCTTGTCCCCTCCCCAGATCTTGGAGGGCACTTAGCCTGCGCTGAGGTGGCTCGCGGCAGTTTCCTTGTCAGGGATGGTGGACGGACCGCAGGGTGGGAGGAGGTGACACAGGTCCCTGACCCACAGTGAGTGCTTGGTGGGGATATAGCTTTGCTGCTATGGTTTTCTCTTCTGTCATAACAATAAAGTTGGCACCTGTGCTTGGCAGCTGGGTGATGGGTTCAGAGCAAAGAAGCAGAAGTGAGGTGATGGAACACCAAGGAGAAAAACACACGGGTGGCACGGGGCTTGGGGGACCTGGCTGGGGCATCTGTAGACCACCAGCAGGGCTGTTGGGCTCTCTTTTTAAAGAAACAGAACAGCTTTATTGAGATAGAATTCACATACCATACAGCCCATCCCTTTCAAGTGTACAATTCCATGTTTGTTAGTGGACTCCTGGGCAGAGCACTGTCCCCACCATCGGATGCTAGAACACTTCTGTCTACCTGCAGAAGAAATCCCGGCCCGCTAGCCACCACCCCCTGCCCCCCACTCTCTCCCCACCGTGTCCCCACCCACGGGCGGCCACTAAGCTACTTCTGTCCCTACAGATTCACCTCGCTGGGACATTTCAGAGCAGGGGACTCATAACAGTGCGCTGTCTTTCGTGACTGGCTTCTTTCACCCAGCACAGTATTTTCAAGGTCCATCCACGTTCTAGGGCGTATCTGTGTGTCACGACTCCATCTTCTGAGAGTATTCCATTACACGGATATACTGCAGTGTGTCCGGTCATCTGTGGATGGACACCCGAGCTGTGTCCACATTTCAGCTGCTGTAAATAGTGTCGCTACGATCGTGTGTGGACTGGGGTCTGTGTGCACCTAGGTTTTCATTTCTCATGGGTAGATACTAGCAGTGTTGGTGTACTAAGGTTTGTATATGGTGTGAGGAAGGGCTCCAACTTCCTTCCTTGCATGTGGCCGTCCAGCTTTGTCAGTACCATGTTTTGAAGATTGTTGCTTCCCCCCACCTTGCCATGGCCTTGGCATTCTTGTGGGGAATCAGTGGACCATAAACATGAGGGCTTATTTCTGGACTGTCAACCAGATTCCAGTGATCTATAGGTATATTCTGTGTTAGTGCCCCCTGTCTTGATTGCAGTAGTTTTGTAGTGAATCTTTAAGTTGGGAAGTGTGAGTTTCCCAGCTTTGTTCTTTTTTCTCAAAATTGTTTTAAGTGTTCTGCGTCCCTTGCATTTCTGTATGCATTTTAGGATCGGTTTGTCAATTTCTGCCAAGAAGCCAGCTGCAGTTTTAATGGGGATTGTGTGGAATCTGGATCAATTTGGAGAGCATTGCCATCTTAGCACTAGTCAAGTCTTCATTATGTAAACATGGGATGTCTTTCCATTCATTTAGGTCTTCTGCTGTTTCTTTCAAAAAATATTTGCCAAGTGTTTAGAGTACAAGTTTTGCACTTCTTTTGTTAAATTTATTCTTGAGTATCTATACATTCTTTTTGATGGTGTTAAGTGGAATCATTTTCTTAATTTCATTTTTGATTGTCCACCGTCAGTGAAATGAAAAACAAAACAATAGTTTTTATTTGTCTGTTGTACATTGACCTTGTATCCTGCTGTCTTGTTGAACTATTTTGTTAGTTGTAATAGTTTTTTAGTGGGTTCCTAGGATTTTCTATATGCAGGATCATGTCATCTGCAAATAGAGGTCATTTTATTCGTCTTTTCCAAGCTTTATGCTGTTTATTACTTTTTCTTGCCTAATCGCTGCCCTGGTTAGAACCTCCAGTACGCTGCTGAGTAGCAGAGCAAACAGCTGTCTTGTTTCTGATCTTAGGAGGAACATTTTCAGTCTTTCCCTGCTATAGTAAAACGTCAGCTGTGGAATTTTTGCACATGCTTTTAATCAGGTCTAGGAAGTTCCTTCCTATTCCTAGTTTATTGAATATTTTTATGATGAAAGGTGTTGGATTCTATCAGATACTTTCTCGGCATTTATAGGGATGATCACATAGTTTCTGTTTGGGGTTCTGTTAGTATGGTGCATTCCATCAGTTGATCCGGGGATGCCCAACCAACCTCCCATTCCCAGGAGAAATCCGTCTTGATCATGGTGTGTATTCCTTTTTACGTGTTGTTGGATTTGGTTCGCTAGTATTTTGCTGAGGGCATTTGTATGTATTTTCATGAGGGATAGCGGCCTCCTTTTCTTGCGAGTCTTTGGTGGTCTTTGTCTGATTTTGGCAGCAGGGTGATGCTGGCCTCATGGAACAAGTATTTCCTACTCTTCTAGTCTTTTGAGTTTTGCAAAGACTTGGTGTTAATTCTTCTTCTAATGTTTGATAGAATTCACCAGCGAAGGCTTCTGGGTCAGGGATTTTCTTTATAGGGAGTTTTAAATTACTAACCCAATCTCTTTTTGTTATGGATCTATTCAGATTTTCTATTTCTTCTTTAGCTTTAGTTACTTGTGTCTTTCTAGGAATTTGTCCATTTCCTGTCTCACGTGTTGTCGGATGGGTACGTGTGGTATCCCCTTAGAATCCTTTTATTTCTGTAGGGTGGGTGATGTTCCCTCTTTCGGTCCCGATTTAGAACTTTTGAGTCCTCTCTCTCGTTTTCTTTGTGCGTCTAACTGAAGGTCTGTCAATTTTGTTGATCCTTTCAAAGAACCAACTTTCCTTTGCTGGCTGTCTCAACTTTTCTATTCCCTATTTCATTTATCTCCATTCTAGTCCTTATCATGTCTTTCCTTCTGCTTGTTCTGGCTTTAATTCACTCTTTTTCCAGTTTTCTCCAAGGGGGAAGCTGAGGCATCAGTCTGAGAACTTCTTCTCCATGGAGGCATTGGCAGGTGTGAGGTCACTGGGAGCACGGCCCTGACTTCGTTCCCTCCATTTCCATGTACCACATTTCCACGGACATCCTTCTCCAAGAATTTTCCAATTCCCCTGTGAATGTTTGCTTTGATCCTTTGGTTATTCAGGAGTGTGCGGGTTAATGTCACTTACATGTGAACTCTCTAATTTTCCTCCTACGATTGACTCCTAATGAAATTCCATTATGGTCCAAGAACATGCTGTGTGTGTTCTTAATCCTTTTGAATGTACTGCCTTTTTTATGGTGTGTGAGCTGCCCTGGAGAGCGTTCCCTGTGCTTGAGAAGAATGCGCACGGTGTGCTCCAGCTGGGAGGGGGAAGGGGGCCTCAGAGCAGGTGTGCGGCAAAGAGCCCAGCACCCCATGCTCCAGAGGAGGCACATCTCAGAGCCCTCATGGCATCCCTCCTCCCTGGAACTTTTCAGATCAAGAAGGAGTGTCTGGCCTGCAGAGGGGCCGCTGCTGTGTTCAACATGTCCTACTTCGGCAAGTTCTACCTGGTGGGCTTGGATGCGAGGAAGGCTGCCGACTGGCTCTTCTCTGCTGATGTCAGCCGACCCCCTGGTATGACCTCCAGAGGACCATGCTCCTTTTCCACTCCAGTGCCAGGAAGAACTCCATGGGCACAGCCCTGGGTACCCACCCTGGCAAGCTGACTCCGTCCACTCTGGGCTCCTCTAGCTCGTGGCTCTGCCCCTGAGGCTGGCCCCCATGCCCCTGCATCTAGACCTTTCTGCCCTCATTGCCAAGTCCCAGCCCTTAGGACCCCAGCACCTTCCTCCATCCCTCCTCCTGCCCTTCCTTCTCCTCCTCCCTCCCTCCTTCTCCTTTACGTTGTTCCAGAAAGGATACAAGGCAGCAGGCCTTCGGTACATGTCTCCTGAGACTGTGGAGCCCATATAGTTACCCCCATAGGAATGCTCTCCCCAAACAGGGTTTCCAGAATTGAATGAAAATACAGGACGCTCAGATAAATTTGAGTCTCAAGTGAAGAAGGAACAATGTTTTTGTATAGGTGTGTCCCATGTAATATTTGGGATATTCATCTCCTTTTTTATTACCCACCCTCCACCCACCTGTCCATCCACCTAAAAAAACTCACCCATCCCCATCTGTATCAGTGCCCTGGGGCCGCTGTAACAAAGCACCACAAACTGGGTGGCTTTAAACGATCAAAACATATTCTTTATATGTTATACAATTCCAGAGGCTAGAAGTTCATAAGCAAGGAGGCAGCAGGGCTGTGCTCTCTCTTGAGACCACGCGTAGGACACTCAGCAGCCTCTCCAGCTCCTGGTGGGGCCGACAGTCCTCAGGGTTCCTTGGCTGTGGCTCCATCCCTGTAGTCTTCACCCTGATGTCACACAGGCTTCTTTCTCCCTGCATCATCTTCTTCTTCTGCGGACACCAGTCATACTGGGTTAGGGCCCACCATAATGACCATCTTAACGTGATTACATCTGCAAAGCCCTATTTCCAAATAAGGTCACGTTCGTGGGGTTGGGACGTCAACCTATCATTTGGGGGGGACACAATTCAGCCCACTACACCATTTCCCCAGCCAACCAACCCAGCTGCCCACTTACCCACGCACCCACACACCCTCTGCTCACCTCCTCTTAAACCTCCTGCCGATCCACACGCTGCCATCTGCCCCCAACCCCGCCCAGCACCCCTCCATCCACTTTCCCCTTCACCCCCTCTTCATTCATCCATCTGTATGGTCATTTACTCAACAGACGTCAGGAGCCTCTGCTCAGCCAGCACAGGCACGCCAGAGTGAGTGAGACAGGATCCCTGCCTCCTAAGAACTTTCCAGCATGGTGGTGGGTGTGTGGGAGGGCGGGATGAGGGGAGGGAACCCAACCGAGAAGGTTCTGGCCTGCGTGGAGTTTGTGTTTCTGGTGGGGAGCAGGGGTGGTGGGACAAGTTTGCCTCGCTGGCCACGGAGTCCTTCGGGGTGGCTTCGGGGGCAGGGAGGGCGTGGGGGGCCCTCCCTCCTGCCACTGCTGGTGCAGGAGTCAGGAATGCAGTGGGCTCAGCGAGAGCACGTGTGCGCCCGCCCCTTCCTTCTCCCGGCGCTCACACGGAGCCTTTACCCTCAGGCAGAGGCAGGGGATGAACGGGGCTGGCCGGGTCCTCCAGGATCTCAGGGTGTGGACAGACCACCGTATGGGCAGACGGGCCAGGAGGAGACTGTTAGAACCGCTGGGATGGAAAAGAGTGGAACTATGGAGGGTCCCAGCTTGAGGCATTTCAAGAAGAAAGAAGCTCCACTCTTGATCCTTCCTCCTCAGGGGATGGCAGCGCTGGGGGACCTGCCCATCCCTCTCTGGGCCACAGGATCGTGGTGGCATCACTGTGCGGAGACACCTTTTGAGAGCACCCTGTCACGCTGTCACGCGGTTCTGCAGACTCGCGTGTGCTCAGCGGCTCACATGCTCTGGATCTTCCTCCTGCCCCCAGGCTCGACGGTGTACACCTGCATGCTGAACCACAGGGGTGGCACCGAAAGTGACCTGACTGTCAGCCGCCTGGCCCCCAGCCCCCAGGCCTCTGCCCTGGCCCCTGCCTTTGAAGGTAAGCGATGCCCCGCGGGCTGAGCCGTGCTGTGGCCCGTAGCTGCTGTTGGCGGGCCGGACAGGGAGGGGGTGCGGGCGGCTCCTCCATCACCCGGTGCGCTCGCAGCGGTCAGGGCTGGGGAGATGAGAGGCCTCGGTTCAGGCTGAACTTCGGCTTTGTTCAGGCAGTGATGCTGGGCTCTGAGTACTCCGTGATTATGTCTTTGAACCTGTCCATACCGTGGTGTTTCTGAGCCCACACTGTGGGCGTGCTCAGCTCGTCTGCCCAGAACAGAGTGAGCCAGGGAGAAGGCCATGCCTCCCACTGAGTGATGTTGGCTCCTTTCTGCCACTAGCCTCTATGCGGAATCGACTTTCATCTATGCTGAACCCCGACTCAGGCTGGGGCAGGTCCTTAGAAGATACGTGGTTCAGTGCTCAAGCTGTTACTGGGTGGCCCTCTGCAGTGCTTTCAGGTTTGCTTGCATGCCTCCAGGGACAGTTAACTCAGTACCCGTCCTCCCTGTCTGCACAGCCGACTGACTGCTGCACTGAGCCAGATCTGCTTCCCATCACTTCAACTCCCCACCCCTACCCCCTGGCTCCCGCAGGAGCCATCTCAACTCTAGTCCTGTTAACAGTCTCCGCTAGGGAAGAAGAGAGGTGGCTGAGAGTCTCAGAGAGCAGGAAGCACCCTCCTTCTCCAGGAAGGAGCCCCATTGCCACCACTGAGAGGCTGGATTTGCAGGGGAGAAAGGTGTCGACTGTGCGTGTGGCTGACTGCACCATCCAGGGCAACGGTCAGTAGGCTGGAAGTGATCGGCCCGTTCTGAGAAGCTGTGGCAGCCCCCTGGCTCCGGGCCTGGCTCTGTGCTGCTGACAAATGCAGCTCACGCTCCGTGGGACTCGGTCAGGGTCCCCGGCACAGGCGAGGGCACTCTGGCCTGGGCACTGGGAGAGGGGGGCGGAGCCAGAAGGAGGCGCGCTTGAGTCAGGAAGGTGCATGACTTCAATACTAGTTCCTGAGCACTCACCGCGTGCGGCCTGTTTGAGGCACCAAGGACGGAGCCAGGAACCCAACCGAGAAGGTTCTGGCCTGCGTGGAGTTTGTGTTTCTGGTGGGGAGCAGGGGTGGTGGGACAAGTTTGCCTCGCTGGCCACGGAGTCCTTTGGGGTGGCTTCGGGGGCAGGGAGGGCGTGGGGGGCCCTCCCTCCTGCCACTGCTGGTGCAGGAGTCGGGAATGCAGTGGGCTCAGCGAGAGCACGTGTGCGCCCGCCCCTTCCTTCTCCCGGCGCTCACACGGAGCCTTTACCCTCAGGCAGAGGCAGGGGATGAACGGGGCTGGCCGGGTCCTCCAGGATCTCAGGGTGTGGACAGACCACCGTATGGGCAGACGGGCCAGGAGGAGACTGTTAGAACCGCTGGGATGGAAAAGAGTGGAACTATGGAGGCTGTGGGAAGTAGCTGAGCCAGGATGAGGAAGGCTTCCTGGAGGAGGTGATGTCTGGCCTGAAAGGGGGCTGGGAAGAGCTGGGTGGAGAGGTCAGCAGGGCTGGAGAAAGGCTGGTGGGAGCTTTGTGTGGCCCTCATCCCCGAGGAGAGGGGAGGCCCTGACACAGACATAGCTTCCATCCTTGCAGAGCGAGTGGAGCTGGGGGTGCAGGGCAGAGGGACCCCAGTGAGGGTGCGGAGGGTCCATGGAAATCCTGGGCCAGGCCCCGCCACTGACTGACTCTGTGGCCCACGGCTCCGAGCCTCAGTTTCCCCATCTGGGGCATGGGGACCTCGCTGGTGCCCTCCACGGGGAGCTGTAGTGAAAACACTTTGTAAACTGAGCCACTGCCCAAGGGTGTACCCATGATATGCCTTTCAAGATGATTCCGGTGGATTCCTGGCCCTGGTCCTTGCCAGGGCTGGGGGAGAGCAGGCTCTGGCGCAGAGGGAAGGGAACGGTGCTGATGCTTCGGGAGGTGTCTTTCCTACACTCTTGGTGCCTCCGAGTTCTCCTGGGAGGGAGGGAGGGAGGGGTCGGCGCTGGGCCTGCCAGTGGAAGTGTGCGTGGTGAGGGAGGCTCGAGGACGCCTGCGTCACATCCTGGGAGGCTCTGGAGTGTGCTGACGGGCCCGGGGACACGGCCAAACACGAGAAAACCGGCGGCGTGCAGACTTTGTTTTATTTTCAGCCTTAAAAACTGTATCGTTCCTGCCATGAATATGCATGTCTGTTCAATATGCTTGTTTCAGATGGGGGTTAATTACACCTGTTACATCAGATCACCATTAAGTCAAGAGGATGAGGTGATTTGTATTCAATCGAGGTTGTGTACAAAGCAGCTGTCGATCCTAAATGTGATCTTGCTTGATCTTTTATATCACAAAAGGAAAACGTGCTCGTAGGAGGCATTTCAACAATACCGAGAAATAGAAAATAAAATCTGCAGCCCCCAGCTCCCCAGCTGGAGGCCGAGCCCCCGGACTCTGTGCCCGCTGACTGCCCTCTCTGCCACGTCTGCCTGAGGGCTGGGCCTGGAGCTGGGCTGACTGTGGCCTCGGGACCAAGCACTTTGGGTCGTCGATGAGGGACAGCTGCCCAGAAAATGCCAGGTCCACCGGCCACCACCTCTCGGGCACCGGCAGCCCCAGGAACTCGCGTCCTTCAGTGAGGGACCTTAGGTGGCTTCAGAGAGTCACAGCGTGTGTCGGGGGCTGGGTCAGAGGACACTGTTGGAATTCCAATGTCCTTTAAGAGTCCTCAGCCCAGGGATGGAGTGGGGGGGCCTTTGGGGGCTGACTTGTCTTTTTGGCTTCTGTCTCCCTTTGTGCTCATCAGTTTTAAGAGAAAAGAGGAAGAGAGGAAACATGATCAAACCTGGTCAGTAGATTTTTTTTTTTATCCAATGGATGCTCTCAACAGCCCTATAGGAGCTGGTGTGTCTCTGCCCATCTTACAGATGAGAAAACAGGCTTAGACAAGAATTGAGGCCAGTGAGTCACAGAACTGCCTCTGGGCCAGGCTGGACTGGTGCCAAGACTTACATGTTCCCCAAGACAGGCTCCTCCTGGGGGTGGGGTAGTGTCCCTGCAAAGTGTGTATGTGGCAGGGATTTGGGGAGCTGCCCTTTCTGCCCAGCCCCATGGTCCAAAGGATGCAAAGGTGCGTGCAGGGTACGGTCCTGGCTGGAGGGAGATTGTGGGGTGGGGACAGGCAAGTGGGGAGGTGGTGGAGGTGCTCTGCAGGGTTGGGGTGGGGTAAATGGGCTTCCCAGAGGAGGGGGTGTTTGAGCTGGATCCGGGAAAATGAGAAGAGGCTCAGGTCCTGTGAGGCACTAGTGAGTGGGAGGGCCTGGTGAAGATGTGTCCTGGCCCAAGACTAGAGCCGAGTATATCAGAACCAAGTGCCTTGTGAGGGGGCAGGGGTCCCGGGGCAGGCTCTGACGGGCTGGGGGAACACTTTGAGACCATCCTGAGGGCTGTGGGAGTGAGGGTGGGAGGTGGTGAGGTTGGACTGGCATGGGATTGGGGGCTGGGGCCAGGAGGGGACAGATCCAGCCATCCAAGCCAGAGATGCTGCAGCCCGAACAGAGCCACAGCCGTGGGCGCGGAGAGAAGGGGCTCAGAGGCGGCTTTGGGATGTGAGGATGAAGGAGACAGCAGGGCCGCGGGTGACCCCAGGGCCTGGCCATTTGCCAAGAAATGCCTGCAGCTCTGCTATTCAGGGAGGGCTTCCTGGAGGCTAAGGCCTCTGAGTTGGATCTGGAGGGGCAATGGGATTAGGGGAGCAGAAGAGCACACAGCACATGGGGTGCCAAGTTCAAGAATGTCCCAGGGCTCACCTGGAGGAGGGGGGCAGGAGGGCAGTGGGGCCCACAGCCCCTGCGTCTGCTCCTTCCCCGGGGGGGTGGGAGAGGGAGGAGGGCCCCAGCACCAGGCTTCCGTTGGTGGCCCCCAGCCCAGCCCAGGAACCTCCAATGAGAGCCCCCACAGGAGGTGCTCTTGGAGAGGCAGAGAGGCCCGGTACCCCTTCATCCCCAGCCCTCGGCCACCAGCGGCACCCTCCCTGGCCAGAGAAGGATAGGGAGGCGTGCCTACTTTTTAATTATGGTGGGGGGCTGTACCACAGCTGTGGGGTAGCCCTTGGGAAGGGCCGGAGGAGGGCACTTAGGAGGATTCTCCAGCCTCAGGAGCCCCCCGGCCATCTCCACCAGTGCCCACGAGCTATGCCTGGGTCCGGGGGTGGTGCTGGGCCTGTGCGGGCCAATGCCCAGAGCCAACAGTGTCCGGGGCCGAGAGAAGCAGCTGCCACGCAGTACCCCAGGAAGAGGGTGCCTCCCAGGGCAGAACCAGCTCTGCTCCTGGCTCTGGGCCCCTCCTGAGGGCCCCTCCCATGGTGGCTGTGTCCACCTGGCCCGTGAGGCCAGCTCTAGTCGCATTCCCACTGTGCAGATGGAGAAGTGGCCGGGAGCTCTGGGATTGTCCGGTTCCACTGCTGTGAGGCTAGGGACCCTGTTGGAATTAATGAGGAAGGAAGGAAAGAGGCAGGATGCTCAGGGAGGTACCGAGAAGCTGAGATGGAGGAGGACCCCACCCCAGGCCTCCCCTGGCTCCTCCGGGAGATGGGGGAGTGGCCAGTGGGAGCCTGCCTGTCCTGGCACAGCACCCCGGCGGATGAGATGTGTCGACCCTCAGTTGCAGATAAGAGTACCGAGGCTCAGAGGGGCCTTGTGATGGGCCCAAGGCCACACAGCTGTCCCAGGTCCCAGCTCCCCAGGGCAGTGGCTCTCCCAGGACACTGGGCCAAGGCAGGCTGCCCTCCATTCGCCCCTACCTGGTGGCAGTGTGGCTCAGGCCATGGACTCACAGCTGGACAGATTTTCTACCATGTGGCCTCCATGAACCTCAGTCTCCTTTTCTGAAACCCTGGGGTGGTGACAAGTGTCAGTCTCCTGGGGGGGAATCAAGGGGATATATTTTTTTAAAGAATTTATTTATTGGAGAGAGAGCGTAAGCGAGAGAGAGAACACGAGCACGGGCAGAGGGAAAGCGAGAAGCAGACTCCCCATTGAGCGGGGAGCCTGATGCGGGGCTCGATCCCAGGCCCCTGGGATCATGGCCTGAGCCGAAGGCAGTTGCTTAACGGACTGAGCCACACAGTCACCCTGGGAATCAAGGGGATATTGCCTCTAAAGCTCGGCCCATTACCTGGCCCCAGCAAGTCCTGCTATGGCCAAGGGGGGACCCGGAGACCAGGGGCCAGGGGAGTATGGAGTGAAATGAGAGCCAGAGAGGAAAAGAGACTGGTCCACGCCTGCCCAGCACTGATGACAGATGGAGCATCATCCCTGTGGCATGATGGTGTTGGGAGTTCTTCCCCTTTCCTGGATCAGGAGCCCTTTGAGAAGTGGGTGAAAGCCTCAGACTCTCCCAGAAAAGGGCTCCCTTGGCACGTGCAGCCCTCGGGGGTCCTTCGTCCTGGCCTCCAACCCCAGCCCCCTGCTGAGAAGCCAGGGCCCCCAGGGAGGGTCGCTGTGCTCTGGCTTGTGTTGTTCACTCTCCAGAAAAGAGCAAGTATTTCCTCAACCTCTCGGTTGGGCTACGCCTCGCTGCCCCCTCCATCCTGCCGTCCTGCCCTGAGTCCGGTGCTTCTCTTCCAGGGGAGGGCTACTACCTGGCCGTGGGCGGGGCCGTGGCCCAGCACAACTGGGCTCACATCAGCACGGTGCTGCAGGATCAGAAATTCCGGTGCCAGCTCATCGACAGCTCTGAGGACCTGGGCATGATCAGCATCCAGGGCCCAGCCAGGTGAGGAGCCGCGGGAGATGCACAGCCCCTGGGACCCAGCCCCGGGTTCCTCCAACCGGGTCCTGCGGGCAGAACCACTGCGGGTCCAGAATGGGATGTTCTGGTTCGCTGGGTGATCCGGTGAACCCAGAGGTGCCATGTTGGATAAATCGTTTTCAAAGCGCTAGAATACAGAAAAGCCCTTTATGTGAGCGTCAGACTCAACCATACGGTGTCTCAGCATCTGAGGGCTCAGGGGTCACAGAAGGGCCTGTGTGTGTGTGTGTGGGGGGGTGTCTTTGGGTTGCTGACTCAGCCTAGGAGATACTGATGCCATCTCAAAATGGGCACAGCCAGGCTGGGGTTCTACCTGCCACTGGGGCTGAGAATAGTACGGAACTGAGGCCACTGCCCCCCGGGGCCAAACGCCTCCGTGATCACCTCCAGTGATTAGGCCTGCAGATGGGTGATCCAGTCATTCGTTCGTTCTGTATTTGCTGAGCTGCATTCCCACCCACGGGGAGCCTGCAAGGTCCTCAGACGCTGGCTGTGCGTGGCGCCACAGAGGGGGCTTAGGCAAAGGGGCGCCCGAGCAGCTGTGCACTTCGGGACGGTCCCTCCAGCTGGGCTTCAGGGAAGGGACTCGGGGGTGGAGGACCAGAGGGGAAGAATGATCGTCTTAACAACCACCAAATGCACACCTGTGATTTGCCAAACCCTGTGCGGGGCTCTCCTGAAACTACGGATGATAGCCCTTGCAGGTGGTTCTAATTGTTCTTGTTCCTTTTGGTGAAGAAACAGAGGCAGAGAGAGGTAGCGATCTTTGCCCAGGGTGGTACAGCTAGTTAGGTGCTCCATCACTGACCCCAGAGCCCGGCGCGCATTGGCGCGGGGGCGACACCTCTTGAGTGGTGGACCCTGCCAGACTGGAGGGTGCAGGCGGAGGCAGGGGAGGAAGGGCACATGTCAAAGGAAGGATGTATTCCCGAAAAATGATGGGAACAGCTGGTTGCCGAGAGGGAAGAGTGGACCCAAAGCTGCACACTCAGACCCTGCCCTAGGATCCATTTTCCCGGGTGCCTTAGAGATGACCAAGCCAGCAGCTCCCCGGCTGGGTCCTGGACGGGCCAACCGCCCCTCCCAGACTGTGTTGTAGCTGTTTTCTTAGGGGCGCACGGCAGATGGACAGGACCTGCTCGCTGAACGAATGTATAGAATCTGAGTAGGTCATATACTTTAATGTTGATCGGCTTCTGTCAAGTGTTTGACCAACATCCACTAAGAGAACATTTGGGCAAAGCCCTGAAGGAAAAAAATGAGGAATCAAGCTTTGGAGCTCTGGAGGGACGGTGTTCCAGGCAGAGGAAACAGCAGGTGCAAAGGCCCTGTGGCAGGGGTGTGCCCATGTGTCTGAGGAAAAGCAGGGAGGCCAGCTGGAGCAGGGCAGTTGGAGGTGCGCTCGGAGAGCAGAGGAGGTGAGGACCTGTAGGGCCAGGAGCTGTTTCCCTGAGTGAGGGGGACTGAGCAGAGCAGAGACATGGTCGGACTTGGGCTTTAACAGGGTCTTTGATGCCGGGCGGGGGAGGAGGCCAGCAGGTGTGTTAGGAGCCTCAGGGACCAGAGAAGCTGGGACTTCGAGGAGGGAGCATTGAGCTCTGTCCAGGTGGTCAGTGGGTCCAAGTGGGATGAGGACCAGAAACTGACCATTATTTTTGGCAGCGTGGTGCTTCTGGTGGCCTCGAGGGTGGTTTGCAGGACGGCTGGGTGGGGGCATGTGGAGCCAAGAAGGGAGGAGAGGAACCTGGAGATCCGGTGGTGCGGCTTTCATCTCTCCCTGGGCCAGCCGGCTCCCGTCTGTGGGCGGAATGGGGCCGGGGGTCCTGGCCGGTCCCTGGGGGAGCCTCTGCTCCCTTGTCGCTGCGCCTCAGCTGGCAGTGGGTTATTTTTAGTGTGGGGGAGGCGGGCGGGCAGGGGAGGGAGGGTGCAGGCAGCCAGATCAAGGCAGGGCCCCGGGGGGACGAGCCAGCCTCCTCTGCCTCATTAGAAGCAGCTCCAGGCGGGCGCCGGTGACAGCCATCTCATCCCCCCTGATAATTCCTGAACTTCCTGCTCCAGAGTGTCCTCTCCTTCAACAACAGCCTCACGTTCCTGCACGAGGGTCAGCCTTGCCGGCACCACCGGTGGGGCTAGACCTTCGGAGTTGTCCGGTGGGAAGATGGCACCCGGACCATGGGCCATGCTCAGTGACCTGCTGTCCAGTGGAACTCTCTGGAAACGTTCCGTAATTGGGTGGTCCAGTACGGTAGCCACTAAGCTGTAGGTGGCCACTGAACCCTTGACGTGTGTCTGGCCAGACTGAATATTTAATTTTAATTCAATTAAACTCAAGTGGCCACGTGTGGCTGGGGGAGACCGGGCAGAAGTGAATGATCACTACCACAGTTTCTCACTGCTGGCTCACAAGAGCCCTGGGAGCAGGCATCCCTGTCCCCGTGGAGGACGGGGTGCGGGCGATAGGTGAGTAAGGGGAGTCAGGACTTGAACCTGCGTCTCTGGCCCATGCCCTCCAGCGCCACCTGCTGCCTCCCTGGTGGAGGGATAGCCTCCTGCGCCCCAGCCCGCGTTCCCCAGACCTGTGTGCCCGCCCCGTCAATAGATTGGTGCCCAGAGCTACCCCTAGCGCTGCTGAGCCCCTTCAAACCCTGAGCCGGGGCGGCAGCTCCAGGCTCCTTCCCCTGCAGGGACACAGGCTAGGAAGACACCAGCCGCCCCGGGGCTGCAGAGAGGACATGCTCTTGGAAGACTGGGGATGGGTTCTCTGGGGGCTGGCACCACGTGGGTGCTGGGGGTGTGTGTTACATAAGGCACTGGCAGCCTGCGGCACACTGGGCACCTCGAGCCGGCGTGGGTGGGCAGCTACAGCACCGTGGGGGTGGAATTAGGGTGGGCAGCATTCTGAGCTGCAGAACCTTGCAGCCCCAGCACCCGCTGGTACCCCTGCGCGGGGCTGTCTCCTGCCAATGGAGAGCCCACCCTGGGGCACAAAGCTGGGCTGTTGTCAATCAGTTCTATTTACCGTGTGCCCTTCTGTGCCAGGCACATTGGGATAGGAGCCCTGTTGTCACAGGGCGCCTGGTTTAGGGAGTGGGGGGCAAGGACAACCCATGTGTGAGAGGTGTGCTGTCAGGAAATGTATCAGAGCTTCACGACCCACATAAAAGGCACCTGACCCAAACTCAGGGAGTCCGGAAGGGCTTCCTGGCCAGAGGTGGCAGCTGAGCCGACACCTGAAGGATGACAAAGGCTTAAACAGAGGCAGGGGACCTGGGTGTTATGCCAAGGAGTGAACTAAGGCCTCGAGGGAGGCCAGGGGGCAAGGGGCCCCGGAAGGGAGGGTTTCCATGGATACTGAGGGCTTTGGGCCCAGCGAGGTCTCAGCCAAACTCTTAAGCCTGATAGCCGGATTCTGTGGGGGGTGGGAGAGCAACCTTTGACCTCGGGGAGCTCACAAACCAGCCTCCTGCCCGTAGGACCTGGGGGCGTTAGACGGCTAGGTCACTGCCCCAGGAGTCACGTCAGTCTGGTCTCCATGCAGGCTGGGTTCACTGTTGTTGTTCCTGGCTTTTTTTTGTGGACTGTATTTTTGGCTTGTGTTCACCTTGGTGTGCTTTTATGAATACCCTTTTGTCAGTCTGCCCTACGAGTTCAGGGACTCATCCTGCTCACTGCTGTATCCCCAGCGTCTTCCTGGCCCAGGGCCTGCACCCAGGAGCGCTCAGCAAGTGTTTGTTGACTGACTGACTAACCGACTTTGTTCCTGTTCACAGCCGGGCCATTCTCCAGGAGGTGCTTGATGCAGACCTGAGCAATGAGGCTTTCCCGTTTTCCACCCACAAGCTGGTGAGGGCCGCCGGGCACCTGGTAGGTACCTCCCGGCTGCCATCTCCTGTGTTGTGGGTGGCGGCAGTGCGACTGGGGCTCGGACTTGGGAGCCAGTCTGTTGACTTCCCTAAGCCTTTGTCCACCACTGTGAAGTGGGGACTAGACGTTCCCGCCCATAAGCTGTTCGGAGCTCAGAAGGCTGACGGGTCCACGTCAGGCTCCACCCCTCCCCCCCGGTACTGTGCCCAGTGCCTGGCACCTGCTGGGGGCCTTGCTCGCAGGCTTCCGCCAGGAAATAGCCTTGGCCTTGCCACCTGCACAGCCACCCGCAGCATCCCCCTCCTCGGAGGCACAGGCCTCTGGGCTCAGGGTGATGTGTACTGCCTCCACCACATGGGAAACAGGGCTGGGGACCGCAGAGCTCCGTGCCCTCTGAGGAGGCACCTGCCCTTCCCTAGTGTTCTCCCACCCCTGCCCGCCCAGCACTGTGGGTGTGGGAGGAGGAGGGGCTGCTCCGTGGGGTGGGGGTGCACAGCCCCCACCCCCAGCCCCAGAAAGTCCAGGTCCTGGGACCCAAGGCTTCTGGAATGGTGGACAATGTCAGGCTCCCTTGGACCCGGCTCCGGCTGGAAGCTTCTTTGGAGACCAGGGGCTGGGGCGGGGCCAGCTCTAGGTCAGCCCGTCCCTTCCCTCCTGGTCCTTGTAGGAAGTTAAGCATCCTGATCTCCGTTCTGATTCCCCGAGGCCAAGGGGAGGATCAGATGGTCAAGGTGCCCTCAGCCACCATGTGCCGGGGGCTTGTGGGCACCAGGCGCTGCTCCAAGCACACGGCACACGCATGGCCCACATCTTCTTCCCAACGATGTGAAGGTTCCATGACGAGGTTTCTCAGCCTCGGCACTATGGACATTTGGGAAGATACTCTGTATTGGAGGCCGTCCCAGGCCTCGTAGGGTGTTTGGCAGCAACCTTGGCTTCCACCCATTCAATGCCAGGAGCACCCCCAGCTGTGACAACCAAAAATGTGTCCAGATGGGAACAAGTGTCCCCAGGGGGCAGACTCACCAGAAGGGAACTGCTGCTTGTCTGTGATTATCCCTGTGGTGGTCAGGCTGTCCGCAGTCGTGGCCGGGTGAGATGACCCAGGCCCTGCAGCAGCTCTTGATGTAGGAAACCGAGCTTGGAGAGGGTGAGGGACTGCCCGAGGCCCTCAGCTAACCAAACAGAAAAGCACACAAATACATGTCAATAAAACGGATGTGGCCATCGGGGGCGGGTGGCTGGACAGCTGGGCTGGGGGGCTCCTCTCCTTGTCCACTTCTCCGTGTTCGCTGGGGGTTTGGTGGGGAAAGTGCCAGGGAATGTTGGTGGGGAGGGGGATCCTGGCCCGCGGAGGGCCTGGAGTTCCAGGACCAGCCTGCAACTGAATTTGCTGTTAGCAAATCAACAGTGTGTACTGAGGTCTGCGAGGGGGGCTGCCAGAGAGGGTGGGGGACAAAGGCTGCTCTGGAGCAGGGGAGTACTGGCTGGGCTCTGTTCCTGCCTTCCCTCTCTGGAAGGGGCTAAGGGACAGGAAGCTGTGGGGGGGGTGGGGAGGTTCCTCTGTCTAGCTTGCTTCCTGCCTCCTTGGTGCAGAGCTGCCTGCCAGGACCAGAGAGGGTAGGTGTTTTGAGAAAGTGGCACAGCGCGACCCCAGGCCCCGGCCGGCATCCAGCAGGCCCTGACTGCAGCTGGGCCATGAGTCCCCATGGGGACTGGGTTCTGGCTTGCGGAGGTGTGAAGGGGAGTTGAGAGGCTTGGCATCTGCTTGGCCTGCGTGTGGCTCGGGGGTAGTGGGAGAGAGGACCAGGTGGGAGCACTTCCCTTCCCAGCCCAGGCCGCTCCAACGAGGCACCTGGGACGGGACTTGTTCCTGGCCAGGGGGCTCCAGCTGCCTCCTGCCCCTGGGGGCCGGCCCCTCACAGCCCGCCCTGGCCGCCTCCCTAGGCCTGGCCCGTGGCGGTCTGGCGGCACCTTGTCCGGCTGGGCCTGGGAGCCAGGCTGGGTCAGGTCTGGGACCGTGGGGAAGCCCTCCCTAGGGTAACAGGTGGCCCAGACACAAGGTGAGGGTGCCCTGAGATGCCTGGGTTGGGGTGCAGGACACCCATGGGGCTGCATCTCCTCACTGTCTCCTCTGGAACAGGCTTCTTGGCTTTGTCAAAGAGTATTTTATTACTCTGTGAACAAATGCTCAGTTTCCAACCATAAGTGTGTGGCGCGGTGGTGAAGCAGGCAGGGGGCCTGGAGGCAGAGCTCACTGACCCCTTCGGGTGCGACCCTTGAGCTCTCCAAGCACAAGATGCCGCAGTCTGGCTGGAGAGATGTTGGCATCACACTGGGAACGTTTGTAAGCCAAGAACAAGGAGATGGAAGCCAAGCCCAGGTTAGCAGTTCAGTGTGCCTCACAGAATCTTCTCTCCCTGATCTCTGTCCATGAAGCTTGAAACAGAAGCAGGACCATCCACAAATACAGTTTGTGCACCCAGCTTTATTCTCTGACAGTGGTTGTAACAGTTTTTTTTTTTTTTTTAAGATTTTATTTATTCATTTGAGAGAGCACAAGCAGGGGAGAGGCAGAGGGAGAGGGAGACACGGGCTCCCCGACTGAGCAGGGACTCGATCCCGGGACTCCAGGATCATGACCTGAGCCCAAGGGAGACGCTTAACTGGCTGAGCCACCCAGGCGCCCCAGTTGTAACAGTTTTCTGGTTCCTTTAAATATTCTCTGAGAACCACTTTGAAAACCTGTGTGATCCTCCCTCAGCTCCTCGAGCAACGCCCGTGCTTAGACATTCCTTGTCCTGGGAATAGCCCAGTGAGGAGCTCCCCGTTGATGGTGGTCCTTTTATGACTCTGATTATTGACCTAAGGCAGATTCCTCAGACCCAGAGACAGGTGTCCCAGGTACACAGTCCTGGCCTTCCGGGTCATTCCATGCGGGGTCCTTGCCCATCATTTGGCATTTTCTGTGTCCTCCCCATGCCCGGTGCTGTCCCAGGCCTTCTGGGGGAGAGTGGGCACAAAAGTACAGAGCTTCCTAAGGCAGGTCCCACCTGCGGGACGGGAGACTGGCACCCTCGGCTCACATTGGGCCAATCCAGGTTCTCACGCGAGCCCTGGCATTCTAGCCTGAACTGCAGGATCCATTCCCAGGGCTCAGCGTCCTCTCCCCACCTCTGCCCGCCCCGATCCCCCACACCCCCCACCTGGCTCTAGAATTAATTCCGGACACGTTGGCTGGTAGCCCCCCAGGTGCCGGGCCCAGAGCTTGACCCGGAGGCTCTGGGGTGGAAGAGGCGGGCTCCTGCCCTCCCCAGGCTCATAGCCTTGCTGTGGGTGGGGGTGGGGGGGGGCGGGAAGGACTCTGCAGCACGGTGCACCCTGCATCGGGCAGGAACACGTTCACGGGCGGGGGAATAGAGTCTTGGCAAGACAAGTAAATGTGAGAACAACAAGGTGGTGGAGAGGATGTGACTTGGGCCCCTCGGCTGGGCAGTAGTGTGCCTGTGCTGGGTGGGGAGGGGCTCTGCCCTGGGACGGGGTCCCCCATGCCCCTGCCCCCTGGCCCCCCTGGCAGGACCAGAGGAACCCATGCCCCAGGGTGGCCAGCAGAGACTCCTTCCTCTCCCCTGCCCGGCTTAGAAGCACATCGCGGTCCCCTGCAGGGGACCGTGCCCACCAGGGCCGGGGTGACGCCACCTCACTCCTCAGAACAGCCCATCTCCGAACACACGGATTCACCGTCCTGCAGGGTCACGCCTGCGTCCCTGTCCTCGGATGCTGTGGGGCCCCTAGGGGGCTGGGCAGTTGGGTAAGTGCCTGGCTGAAGCATCTTTGTGCAGAACCCTGCCTCTCAGCCGCTCCTTCTTCCTCTTCCCCCTCCTCCCTCTCCCTGCTGCTCTCTGGAGGTCACATCTAGTAACCTGGAGGTCGGGTCGCTGCCCCGATCTGTGACCCCCTAGGGGCTGGGAGTCCCCGGGGGGCCCAGCTCCTGAAGATGAGGGCCTCAGGGGCGGGAACTCTCGAGGATGGGACGCAGCTAAGGGTGTGGTAGGTTGGTGCCCCAGACGTGCCGGGAGCCTGCCTCCAGATCCCACATTCTCCTGAGGGCCAAGGAGGCTTGAACAAAATGGAGCGAAGGCCTAGTTTCCTCGGGGTCGATGTTACGGGTTTTGCTGACCTCCGTGTGGCCCAGACCACACGCTGGTCCAGGATGGTCCAAGCCTAGGGCACAAGAGCTTTGCATTCACTGTCCAGTAAGAGGGGTGGGGAAGTCTGCCGGGCAGGGCCAGAGGTTGTGGGGGACCTGGGCTGCCCCTATAGGCCCCATGGTGGCCTCACAGGCAGGCGGGGAGGTGGGAGCTGGGTCAGCACAGAACCCAAGGGTCAACAACAAAGTCAGTCCGGTGTTCAGCAGAGCTGGGGGCCTGTAGTCCCGGCTTCTAGGCCCGCCCTGGCCTTCTGGGACCACCTCTCCTGGCCTCCATTTCCCCACCCGCGACACAAAGCCTAGACAGTATATCAAACCTTTTCTGGGCTTCTTGTGAGTCTGTCCAGACAGCCTGAATTCTCTCTGAGCCCAGGGGGATTTTCTATTCTCCCAAATAATATCATGCACCGGCTTCAGCACATCCTGGCGCCATATCCCTCCGTGTGAGGACACGCTGGGGCCAGAGGGCAGGCTGGGCCAAGTTTGGTGGGAGGTAACTGGATCCCAGCCAACCAGATGCAGGAGAGGAATGTGTGCCTGTGTAACCGGTAAGGCCTCCTGGTTGCAATGCACGGAATGATGAGGGCCAGAGCCCAGACTGCACCCAGGCCGAGGGTGGGGGAGCAGGGCCCTGCCTCCCGTGACCCACACTCACAGCCAACAGATGACCCTGGCTGAGCGGCGTCCCCGGCTGAGTGCCGTCCTTGTTTTGCAATAACACCCCAAGATGCTTGGGCCCCAAGCTTCCATGAGGCTTGCATTCCTAGAGGAAGAACAAGGGGCGGAGGGA